CAAGTGTGGCAGAAACTTTTTATTTTCCTTCAATGCAGTAATTATTATCTGCACGGATAGTTCAATTTAAATCTAAAAATAAAATTTTAGTCGAATTGGAACACAGCTTCGGGACAATGTTGTCAGATTGGTTTAAATTTGGCTACATTCGAGTCAGCAGGAAAGTCAACCTGCTTTTCAAAACTAACTGCAGGTATTGTAAGAGAGAGAAAATTGGAATGAAGTCACAAAGGAATTATTTCCAGAGTTTTCATCGTTCACAAATGGAGACTGGTGGGTCTCTGGATCGGATATAAATTGCGACAAAAATTTCCAGTGGTGCTCAATAAACAGGGCGTTTGTTGACAGCGAAATCAAATGGAAATCAGGACATCCGAAAGCGGGACTTGATTGCGTTTACGTGGAAATTCGCAACAGCAGCGTTTTACTGGCAACAGCCGATTGCAAAGAGGAAAAGCAATTTTTGTGCCACGTAAGACAGGATGCAACTGCTGGCATCGCAATGCAAACTGAATGTGCAGATATTTGGGGGATAAAAACTGGTGCAAAAAAAAAACAGTTTTAAAAGCAAAATATTATAATAAAAATGCAATTCGTCTAGAGGAAATCGACCTGCTGATGAACGCCACTGCCATCACCACGGCTAACATTTCTATTAACCTTAAGGTTAAAACATCCATTTTTATATTTCAGTTCATAAAATTTAACTTCTTTTTTTTTGCCAGTGTTTCTTGAAATGCATCGGAGTGGAAGTTGGAATGGTGAATTTTAGATGATCTTTTATTTTTAATGGCTAATTTAAATCCTCCTGTACACAATTCTCAGTTTTCCCTCGGCGGGTTAGTTGCTATTGAGATGCTGAGGCAAATTGAACTCGTCACGTCGGAAGATCCAGTTAAATTGGAACAGGGATTTACAGCCTATGACAGTTGCAGTGGAATTAGTAGTGTTTAAATATTCCTTTCCTGCTTCTCCCATTATTAAATGTTTTTTTAGAATACGATGACGAATGCGTATCCGCACATGAAACCTTTAAGTGCGGCCAAGAAAAGGCACCAGACATAGTCAACAAAGTCATAACAAATAATTTTGGCAACTCTACCATTGTAACTGCAATTTTTTTCAGAATTAAAAAGCAAAAACTATTTTCAATTAATTTTCAGTACAAAGCACCAATGCCGTGCCTTCCAATGTTACGGACTTGTTGGGTCTCGGATAACGTGCCTTGCGTTGCAAATGTATGTATATGACGACAACCCAAACAAGAAGCAATGCTCAATTCTTCCTAAATTTCACCAAATTAGTGGAGGGGATCTAACAATAACTTTCGATTTGATTTAAATATTTATTATTTTTTAATTCATAAAATATGCACTTTAAGCTTGAATTCCTTGAAAAAAATGACACAAATTTCTAATAATTAAGGTATTTCTACTATATTTTTGTATGGAAATGAAGATTCGGGCTTTTCCTCGTTGCAAAAAAATTGTTTTTTATTCAAAAACAAACGGCTCTACCAGTTTCGGTCACGGTCTGCGACCCTATTTCATGAGCAAACGCGCTGCTCGCTGACTAATACAAGAATGAGCTAGCTAAAGAGTCTTTAGCTAGCTCATTCTTGTATTAGTCAGCGAGCAGCGCGTTTGCTCATGAAATAGGGTCGCAGACCGTGACCGAAACTGGTAGAGCCGTTTGTTTTTGAATAAAAAACAATTTTTTGCAACGAGGAAAAGCCCGAATCTTCATTTCCATGATCATCTCCTCGAGTGTCAACTTCTTCAAACAAATATTTTTGTATGCCTTTAAAAAGCACATTTAAATGATAAAAGGTCTTAACATATTTAGCATCTTGATTTTTCTAATTTCCTCAAACAATTTTATTTGTCCGAATTTGACCAAAATCGGGAGAAGATTGGTGGTGCTCCTTTTTAATATGTTTCCCCCCCCCCCAAAAGATAGCTTTAGTAATTAATATTTTAAACATAGCAAACCTTGATTAGTCAACTGAATGCAACAGGATCTTGTACGCAAATCAATCATAATATACTGTGTAGAAATTATGTTTAATTCTTGATCAGGTGATTTTGGCAACATGACAACAACGTTTGCAGGCAAAAAAATTTTTACTGCTTACAAAACTAAAGATATTGTAAGAATATATTATTGTTCGTTTTAAATTGTATTTATTACTTCAGACTTCAGTAATTGCATACAAACAATGCTGTTCAATAAATATGAAGTTAATGGAACCGTCGACGACAGAGGAATTGAACGATTTGGGCGGAAAATATCGTAACTTCGTTAAAAGTTTGTGAAAAATAATTAATCTGATTTATTTTAAACAAGCAAACAACGAGTTTGTTTGGTTGGGTGAAACGATGCATGTCAATCAAACGCATGAAATTTGGTGCCGGAATCGGAAAGTTCTGACGGACGATCTGTACGATGTTAATTCTATGAGACACAGATGTGGCAGAGCAATGATTGCGGTTGTTACAACCAACATGCGACTCACCGCGTACGGCGGCGAGTCAGGCGATGATATTGCGTACAGATACTTGAATCCTCAATTGTATGACAATTTTGTCCCGACTTATTTCATAGGTTATTACTGCCAGCCGATCTAATAATTTGTGTGTTATACTTGATATAATTTATGTTCCTTTGTTTTAATCACGACTCACTGTTTTCAAACAAATCTGTCATTTAACTAGTGTCAATTGCAATGTATTTGAACATTTATTTTGAATTTTACGTGGAATAAAATGCTTAAAAATTTAACTTCTATATTATTTACTTGAAAATTCAAAATATTTCTAATTTAAATAAATAACACCTAAATATGGCATCAAAGATACAATTTTAGGGGGAAATTGGAATTTTCCACAGGTTGTTGATGCCACTGGTTTGCATGCAACCACCAAAATATCTCTTATTGTGTTCATGCAAATCTCGTCTGCATCATGCCTTGTCCTCGTAATGAGAACCTGATGAGAGCAATGTTGGATTTTCAATATTTAATCTTCAGACTGTGCAGCACTCGCGGATATTGAGAAAATGATTTCATGCACTTTTGCGACTGTGAATACGGCAGCATAAAATTTTGATGAAAATGATGTAAAAAAAAAACATAATTTGTGGAATTTAAGCAAATTCAAATTACGTGCTCAGCAGGTTGCATATGTTCGCGCATAAGAAATAATTCAAGCTATTATAAAGGATGCTTTGTGAAATTTTTCATGAATCTTGACATGTTTTAAACGAATTAATCTTAAATTTCCTTTAATATCTTTCTTTTCATTTCACAATCAGCAATTTTAAAGCCATTTTTATGATAAAAATCAGTAAAATTAAAATAGAATGACTGGAAAAAGTACTGAATCATGTCTGTCTTCAGCATTGAGGTTTAATTAGAATCTTCTTAATGCTATTGATCTTTAACCAATTCATAATTTTTATATGCTGCATTTTAGTTTCTTCTTCTATATGTTGTGGAAATTGTAGCAATAGAAAACTAGCTCTATCGCACAATGTAAGGGTTAATTCGTAGTGTAAACAGCGCATTGCAAATTAGGCTAAACAGTGCAAATTACCCTAGGTGCCCGAACACGAGGGGACTGCAGGAACATATCATGAACGTCAATTGTTTCTTTGAAATAGTGTGGGTATTTACGAACAAATTTACACGATTCCAAAAGGTAAAGTGCAAAAAAAAAACAGGCAGAAAGTCGAATCTAGCGAAAAGTGGCCGCGTAGTAGCGGCTCTGTACTGCGCCAATAGCGATCACCCGCAAGAGCTCTCACCACTTTTTTCTGCGCCAGAAAAACCTCATCCAACGCTCGATTCGACCCTCCCCAAATTACAATGCCATAACTCATAATTGACTGACAATAAGCAAAATATACTATTTTCAAGTACTTTTCGTCAACAGCATGCATCAAATTTTTAATTAAAAAAAAACCGCACTATTTAATTTCCCAACCACATAATCTGAAAATTATGTGCAAGGTAAAAGCCCACTGCCATCACCAAGGCCAACATTTCTATAAACCTCAAGGTTAAAGAAATTATGAAGTTAATGGAACCGACCACGGTAGGAGAACTGGAAGACATACGCGGAAGATTAGGTAACTTGATATTTTGCAGATTTAAAAAATAAAGTAATAAAAAAGGTAAAAAATCTATTTTTATAATTTCTGTAGAAAATATTTGTAATGTTATTATTTCATATTTTTTCGAATTCGATAAATAATTTGTTTTTGTTTAAAACTCATCAGATACAATTCCAAAATGCTGATGCAAATTTTGTGATCAAAACTTGAACTTTGTTCTAAAAAATAATTTTAATAAATGAGAGTTACTGCATTACCGCTTGCGTCAGTTCACTGTTGATGAAAAACAGGATCGATTGCTGCGCACAATATGTGCATAATAACTATGCTCATTTCAATATTGTATTTTTTTACCATTCTATGATAGTTGAATCAGCAGTGTTGAAATGGACAGCAATATAATATTTCTACTATTATTTGCCTCGTCTTTTGTTCAAATCGACTTTTGTTATGGAGAAAAGCAAGTGAGTTTGAAAAAAGTAAGTATTAAGTCTTGAAAAAAAACACTAATTGAAAATTATAGAATAAACAGAAAATTGCACAAGCAGTGAAAGTGTCTCTTTTCGGAGGAAAGATAGGTAAATTTCACAGTCAAAATTAAAATTCAACAATGTAAAATGTTTCTCTTATAAATTTCAGTGCCGATTTCTGTTCGACTTCCAATGCGTTCATTGTCAGTTTTAAGAAGGAGAAACATAATTAAATGCTGTGGTTTAAAAAAATGCGTCACAAAAGCAAAAAACCAAACTATTTCTTATCGACGACCGGTTGTAACCACACTCCACAATGTATGATATTTTTTTTTTGGTATCATAATGGAAATTGACTGGGAAATATATGTAATTAAAGACACAGAATGCTAATGGAGGAACAACAGTGACTGATGAAAAAAATCTGTCCAGCAGAAGCTCTGCTGGAGGACCGGATTTTGCAGTTTCAACTACCTTTGACCCGTCTTCGGAGACTGTAGCAGGTACGAAATATTTTGTAGAATAATTTTTTAATTGAAAGTTTCACGAAAAATTTAATTTGGGCGTAAATTCAATGAAAAAATTTAATAATTTTCAATTTTTAGTACTGAAAGGTTTACCACGTATTTCAAATAATTGCATAATTAAATTTGCTACCGACTATAATATCTATAATTAATTCACATAAAATAATCACATAATTGGAAATTCAGACCCCACCATTTCCACGTTGACAACCGCCGCTAATTATCAAGAAGGATCAACAAGTGAAGCACTTTCAATTACGTTGACCATCACAAGTGTAGTGGAATTGAGCACAGCGAGTGACGTCCCTCAAATTTCAGATCCCTCGTTTATTCGAACCACTGCACAAAATTCTCAAACTATTTTAAGTTCAACCGTGGCAGGAACTGATATGACAAATCAGCAGTCAACAACAGTCACTAGCATCAACCCTACAACAACAACCATTGAACTAAAATCCAGCGCCACCACTTTGACAACCACCCAACAGACCTTAACAACAACCAAACCACCAACAACTACCATTCCAGTTTGTTTACAAAATAAACTTGCTAGAAATTGAAAATTATTTAAATGAACAATTAAACATTATTATAGAACTTACCCTGCGTTCAATGTGTCAATTTCTACGCCGCGATTATAGTAAACCAATAGTTAACCTTTAAAATCATAAAAACTAACTTTGAATTTCTTTAACAGAAGCCTACTGCTAAACCTGCAGGCAAGTTTAATAAATTAACATTAATACAAATAAAAAGAATAAATATATCAAAATTTTAGCTGACGGTTCTGTATTTGAGACTTCTTGTAAACGAAAGTACTTTGTGTCAACTCAAAGTGTAAATGTTTTTCCCCAAAGAAGGGAGAAAATAATTTTTTTAAATTATAGGTCGACCGCAATGAGGCTGCCTTGAGGTGCAAAGCGAGAAATATGACGCTTCTGACCATTACTTCCGTCGACGAGATGGATTGTTTGGCAAGCGTCAAAGGTTTTTTTGAATATATATTTTTGATGGGGTGAAACTATACATTGGAAATTAGGTGGGACATACTGGACCAGCGGATCCAATGAAGAAACCAACTGCGACGTTGAGAAAAAGTATGCGTGGTGCTCCACGGGCTACAATATTTCTGTGAACATGATTTCTTTGGCAAATTTCTGGACGACCCCAAACGTGACTTCAAATTTGGAAAGATGCCTGGCCTACAGCAACTCTGGTGTGAAAAAAGGATTGGCGCACAAAAATTGCAACGACACTTTCCTATACATTTGTCAGTACAACGTGGACTGTCCCAAAATTTGCTCTAAAAATGTAAGTTTTTTTTCTTTTCTTTTCGAAAATTCTCCAGTGGCAATATATTATTTCAATAAGGCATCCTTATTTGACGGAAGTGGACAATTAATAAGTTAATTGTTTTAAATTCGTAATGCTATGTGTAAATTAAAATCTAAATTCAATTTAGACAAGACATCATATGGAATTTGGTTAAATTTTGGCGCCTATACATACCTTTTAGGAAATAAACCAGTAGTAAAATTTTACTATTTGTGATTTAAAAAACGTAATTTTTTTAAGTTGAACTGGTTGGCTAACTGGCAGCAGTGTTGCGCCATTGGAATGGAGACTCTGAGCATAGACAATTTGCTGGAGCAAAGTGGACTAACTAATTTCTCATTTATTAACAAAGGTTTTTTTATATAGAAATATTTTTAAAGGATATAATTTTATTAATTATTGCTTGAAGATAATTGGAAGGCCAATTTCAACTACTGGACTTCGGGGACGCAAAAAGGTTCACCAGCAAATCATTGGTCTTGGTGCAGACCTGACGGCGGTCCCACGACCTTGAATACACAGCTAGTTTGGGAACAAAACCAGCCCGATAACAACGGAGGGAACGAAAACTGCGTGCACTTTCGGTTTATTCTCAACGACACCGGCACCATTTTGACAGACAGAAACTGCACAAGCAAATATATTTTTGCCTGCAAAGTAAGTAGTTTACGTTGTTGAAGTTCAAATAGCAAACCAACTATTTTGTCTTCAGACACCTTTGAAGACAACCGCAAAATCTTGCAAAGCCGATTGTCCGCTAGAAAATTGTACCAGAAACGTAATGGCATTTTTTTCTCACTTCAAAGACCCCTGTTTTTGTTTATTTTTTCTGAATGATTGCAAAATTTAGAGAAAATAATCTAACAGGTGTCAATTTTCTCAAAAAAGTATCATATTGGGTCGATGGTGTCACTGTGAACGCTATTTTGACAGCGTTTGCAACGCCACCAACGACCAAAAATACTACTTTTGGGGAAGACTGACGGAATGGCCTTTGGTTCTTCAAGTTTGTAAGTTTTGCGCGTGAATTCGAAGCAAATTTTTAGAATTTAAGCATTGTGTTTTTTGAAGATATACTTGAAATTTGGCGATTTTTCAAAATAAATTTGAATAAAAACCACCGGAGTTGGTCTTAAATTTATTATATCAATTTTAAGCCTAATAACGCATTTTTTTTATTACAGGAAACTCTTTTTAACACAAATTATGAATTAAAAAGTATGTTAAAATAATTTAATGTAACTCTATTTATATTGAGGGTCAATTACACTGTTTCAGATTACAATTCATATGGAGATTGGTTCAGCAGCTGTGGCAGACACTTCTTATTTTACGTCAATGCGGTAATTACTGTCTGCATTGATTTCAGTCTAAATTTTAAATCAATTTACAGTCAGATTGGAACACAGCGTGGGGAGAGTGTTGTCAGATTGGGTTGAATTTAGCTACATTAGAGTCAGCAGGAAAGTCAACCTGCGTTTCTAAGCTAACTGCCCGTATGAGAAGAGAAAAAAATTTGAGCTTCGAGCGATGGAATAAATCACGATTGAAACATTTCAGAGTATTCGTCATTCACAAATGGAGACTGGTGGGTCTCTGGATCGGACATAAATTGCGACAAAAATTTCCAGTGGTGCTCAATAAACAGGGCGTTTGTTGAGAGCGAAATCAAATGGAAATCAGGACATCCGAAAGCGGGACTTGATTGCGTTTACGTGGAAATTCGCAACAGCAGCATTTTATTGGCGACAGCAGATTGCAAAGAGAAAAAGCGATTTTTGTGTGAAGTAAGAAGGGATGCAACTTTTGGCATCGGTATGCAGACCGAATGTGCAGAAATTTGGGATATCAAATCTGGTGCTCAAAATTAAAAATAAAATTCAAAGAGCGACTATAATAAAATTCTTTTAGAGGAAATCGACCTTCTGATGAACGCCACTGCCATCACCACGGCCAACATTTCTATAAACCTCAAGGTTGAAACTTCCGTTTTGATTCCAGTAATTACAGTTCATTAAAATTTAACTGCTTTGGTGAAAAAATCCAGTGTTTCTTGAAATGCATTGGAGTGGAAGTTGGAATGGTGAAATCGTTTTCTTTTTTTTCTTATTGAAATTCTCCTCTGTATAAAATGCTTAGTTTTCCCTCGGAGGGTTAGTTGCAATTGAGATGCTGAGGCAAATTGAACTCGTCACCTCGGAAGATCCAGTTAAATTGGAACAGGGATTTACAGCCTATGACAGTTGCAGTGGAATAAGTAGTTCAAATATTCCTTTTCTGCCTACCCAATTAATTAATTTATTGTTAATTTTTTTATAGAATATGACGATGAATGCGTAACCGCTCATGAAACCTTCAAGTGCGGCCAAGAAAAAGCACCAGACATTCTCAACACAGTTATTACAAATAATTTTGGCAACTCAACCATCGTAAACTCATTTTTTTTTTCTCATAATAATAAAACTTAATTAATATTTGGCACTAATTTTCAGTTTAAAGCACCAATGCCATGCGTTCCGATGTTACGGACTTGTTGGGTCTCGGAAAACGTGCCTTGCGTTGCAAATGTATGTCATATCAGGGAACATTGCCAATCTTCAATATGTAACAATGCTCGAATTTCCTAAATTTCGCCCCTTGCATTAAAGGAGAGGAGTTGAAGGTTGAAGTCTTATCTTCAATAATTTGGATGTTAAATTTTAATTATTATTAATTCCTTGAAAGAATTTACAAAATTCTTAATTATTTTTAACATTGGTCATTGGTCTCCAATTAGTTCAAAATAATTAAAAAAAATCAATGAAATTTAGTTAAAAATTTGTGAATTTTGCGTAAAATTACTGAAAATATTTAGAGTAGCATCCATAATGAAAAAAAAATATTCTATTTGTTCATATCTCCAATTTCTTTAGTTTGCTTCAATTTTTGATACTTCCTCAAAAGGTTTTAAATCTTTCCCATGTTTAATTCTTGCTCTATATACTTCCAAGGGTTCCAGCATTAGAGCTTTAAAGAATCAGGAGTCAGTATTAATTTTTACAAATTTGACCTTAATAAATATTGGCTGTGTTCCCTTTTGAATAATCTTTGTCCGCAAGGAAAACCATAATAAGAAGTTTTTTATATTTTTAGCAAACCTTGATAAATCAACTGAATTCAACAGGATCTTGTATGGAAATCAATCACAAATAATATCCTGCTTAGAAACTTGTTAATTTCTTTCTCAGGTGATTTTGGCTCCATGACAAACTCATCGTCAGGCAAAAGAATTTTTGTGTCTTATAAAACAGCAATATTGGTAAGAACAGTATTGTTCATTACAGATTATGTTTTACTGCTTTTCTTTTAGTCTTCGGTAATTGCGTACAGGCAATGCTGTTCAATAAATATGAAGCTAATGGAACCGACCACGGTAGCAGAACTGGAAGACATGCGCGGAAGATTAGGTAACTCGTTATTAATATTGCAACAAATGTAGATCTCAATTGTTTTCGATCAAGCGATCAACGATTATTTTTTGTTGAGTGAAACAATGAACGTCAATCAGACTCATGACATTTGGTGCCGCAATCGGAAAGTTTTGACAGATGAGCTGTACGATGTTAATACTGTTCAAAGATCCATGTGTGGCAGGTCAATTACGGCGGGCCTTACATCCTCAATGCGACTAATTGTGTGGGGCGGCGAGCCAGGCGATGATATGGCGTACCGATACTTGAATCCTCATTTGTATGCCGATTATGCTTCTCCTTTCGTTGGATATATATGTGAGCCGCTCTAATTATTTATTAGTTTGGACTCAAAATTTAAAATTGGATTTGATTTGAGTTTTGAGGGGGCAAATTATGGATTGCAAACGGATAGCTAATTAAATTTGTACAAAACAAAACCTAAAAATTGAATCTAAAATAGAATACCATTTAAATTACCAACCTTTTATTAATCAGATAAAATTATAATTATATAATGTACAAGTATATAAAAAATGAATTCAAAACCAATTCACAGAAAGCATGGAAATTTACTGTGAAAAAATGATTTGGATCAAAATGAAAGAAGTGAATATAAATAGTTTAAAATAGTTATGGATTGACAGTGTGTTTTGCAGCACTAAAACTTCTACTGCACTTCATTTAATTAAACCTTTTTAAACATTACATTTATCTACCGCATTTTGTCAGGGACTTGATAATTTAAGTTTGCTTTGTTTTAATCACGCCTCGTCGTTTTCAATCAAATCTGTCATTTCACTAGGTTCAATTGCAATGTTTTTGAATGAATTTTTAATTGTACATGGAATAAAGGTTGAAAAATAAACTTTTCTATTTTTTACTTCAAAATTTTAAGAGTTAAAATAATATAATAATTTATGATTTACGGCATCAAAGATACAGTTTTGAGGGAGAAATTGGAATTTCCCAGGGGTTGTTGATGCAACAACCAAAATATTTTTCATTCTGTTCACGCAAATCTCGTTTGCAACGTGCCCCGTCCTCATAATGAGAACCTGATGAGAGCAATGTATGGATTTTCAATATTTAATCTCCAGACTGTGCAGCACTCGCGGATATTGACAAAATGATTTCATGCACTTTTGCGACTGTGAAATCTCTCTTGTATACGGCAGGATAAAATTTTGATGAAAATGATGTAAAAAAAACATAATTTGTGGAATATTTGAAGGAAATTCGATTAAGTGCTCAGCAGGTTGCATATGTTCGCGCATGAGAAATAATTCAAGCGATTATTATAAAGGATGCTTTATAAAATTGTTCATGTTTTAAACGAATTAATCTTAAATTTCCTTCAATATCTTTCTTTTTATTTGACAATCAGCAATTTTAAAGCCATTTTTGAGATAAAAATCAGTAAAATTAAAATAGAATGACTGGAAAAAGTACTGAATCATGTCTATCTTAAGCATTGAGGTTTAATTAGCATCTTCTTAATGCTTTTGATCTTTAACCAATTCATTATTCTTAAACGCTGCATTTTAGCTTCTTCTTCTGTATGTTGCGGAAATCGCAACAATAGAAAACTAGCTGTATCGCACAATGTAAGGGTTTATTCGTAGTGTAAACAGCGCATTGCAAATTAGGCTAAACAGTGCAAATTACCCTAGGCGCCCGAACACAAGGGGACTAGTATATTTAGTTCTGGGTGAGCCTATTTCAAGCTAGTTCTGGCAGCAAACAGGATTATCAGAGAGGCTGGCTCTTTATCACCGTGAGCGCTTTTGACAGTTTGTCTCCGCGAGAAAAGTTATTAGCAAGCCTCGAGCTGTTTGCTTGTTAAATTTTCGCCGGCTCTGCATTTGCACACACACGAGCCTCTTATCCCAGCCGTGTTTCGCCACCCTTTCGCATGTCTGCTGCCACTGCGAGTTATGCATCCTCCCTTAAAAGTTGATGATTTCATCCAGATCCAGACCTTGTCCACTGGAAACGTTGGCTTCGATTTAGAGGTACGTGGATCAATTTGTCATGCGATATCTGCACAGATAAATATAATTGAAGCCAAAAGTTTTCAGTTTTTTGTACGCATGAAAAACCAAAGCTTTCATAGATCGAATATATTATATGATTGCAATTTTTTATCAATATTTTTTTTGGCAGCCAAATAAGCGAATTTTTATATTTTCAAAAATTTTCAGCCGGTTTTAGCGGATTTTAAAAATAATTTAGAGTGATGATTAAATGGGAAAATATTATTTATAATCAGTTCTAGTGATTGTCTGTAAAATTGATCTTAAATAGTTGGTTTTTTGTCCCTTAATCTGTCATTGCCATTTTTAAAATTAGTATTTTTGTTTCAAAATTGCAAGTTTTACGCTCATTTGATGCCTAGATGAAGCAGAATTTTCAAATCTATATTAGTGTAGAATAATAATTAAATTGCATTTAATTAAAAAAAAAAATATATTAAGAAAAAATCGTTGATTTTTGTTCAATTCATCGTATCAACAGCAAAGAAAATCTAATTTGCTTTTCGCAAATAATTCCATGAATGTTTCGGCGCTGCGGGGAAATTTGCAGAACTATCAAAATAGCGTTTTCAGAAGCGTATACTTGGAAATATAATTGTTCGCAACAGCAAACACAGACGCTTCACAACTGCTGCGAACCCGAAGGAGTAGATTGAAGCAAGCAGGCTTCATTTTGCGCAATGGTCTTGATAGTATTACCGAAACTGCACAGGAGAGACGAACTAAATGGGGACAATTTAAAGCTAAATGAGTCTCCGCTCCTTCCAAAGATGGTCTCTGTCATAGTTCTCTCACTTCTCTCACATTCAAATCCAAACAAATGTCGCAAGAGGGGTGTAATTTATATGTATAATTTTATTCCATTTATTTTACGGAAAAAAAATGAAAAGAAAATAATACAATTTATAATTAAACAGAGGAACAGCACAGAATATTCAATAAGAAATAATCACAAATCTTTTCTAAAATTAAAATTTTTAATTTTTTTATTAATTTTTCTAGTAATCGACAAGTATTAATATAATTTAAACATTATAAATTGGAGGTAATAATTTAAAATATTTTAATAACGTTTTTATTTAATATTATTTATATGTCGGTTTAATTATTTATTATTTAAATTATTTAAAATTAGTAAATAATGCGGTGGATGGGGTCTTTTTTATCTCTGAAGTTTTAACAAAATACTTGCCATTTTGTCCAACAATTCCTTTTTTTTTTCTTTCAAATAGTTGGTTCAAAAATTGAATGTAAACAAAGTGATGTAATAATTTGGAAAAATAAACAACAATAATAATTATTTTTTAAATAATTAATTAATCTTAATTTATATAAAAGCTACCTCAGAGTAAGTCTTTAAATTAAATGTGTCACTTATTGATTGATAAACACAGTCATGTTTTTTTCTTTATAAATTAAAAAATGATGGAACAGGATTTTGTATTATTCAAGTATCATTCCAGTTTTTCTTCTTGAATGACAGAGCTCAGATGTTTTATATCTGGTTGTCTTTTCGAATTCGATTATATATGTGCTCTGTGAGGAAATTGGCTGCCAAGAAGAATATCAGACACGGCGTCTCTCTCTCTGCTATATTCTTTTTAAAAAACCAAACCGGGCGTGATAAGAAGAAGCCAGGCAAAGAGCAAAAGGATCGAAGTCACGCGGCGGCGGCGGCTGCAAGTCAAGAACGAAATCAGACCTGAATGAAAATTTCTTTTGATTGGGCACGACGAGGGCCTTCCTCTTGCACATCAAACAAGAAGGAGGAATTCGATCGCTTTGTTATCTCTTCGTTCGTCGCGCGCGCAATGATGGAAAAAAAATTAAAAAGAGAAGAGAGTCGTGGCCTCTCTTTTCATTATTTCGCTTTCATGCAGAGAGAAAGAACACTTGCGAAAATCATCCTTCAAAGAAAGGGGCGCAGGGTGAAAAAAGCTTCAAAGGAAGATGCACACTTCCTAATTAAAGTGTATAATTCTCCAAAGAGAGACGAAAATGTCGCTCTGAATTTTGGGTGTGAAAAAATTATATTCATTGTTTAAAATTTTCAAAAGAAAATGTTGATTTTGGGATTATCTTTTCCAAACGAAAGTGAAGAACGCGGTTAATTAGCTGCATTAAGCCCTTGCCAAATTTTGAATCGTATCTCTTGAGTGAGGGAGGATTTTATGAGGCTCGGAAACTTTTAGGGATGGAAAAAAAATAAGAATTAATGTGAAAAAAATAAAAATCTTTTTGCTGCTGAAGATTTTGGACAGGTTTGCGGTTAGAATAAGTTTTCCCTGATGCTTGAAAATTGCCAGAGATAAAAAAGGAGAGAAAATGACAAATAATTTTTTGTCATATTTGTATTTTTCATTGTTAATCTCCATTCAATAAAATTCAATTTCAAATTGTTTGCTATGCTACCAATTGTTTTTTTTTTTTCATTTTCATCGTTTTTCTGGTTTGTTTAAAAAGAATTAAATAATGCAAAAATTTTCTGTCAGAGATTCTGATCAGAAATTTCCAAATTGTTAAAAAAATGCATATTTGGGCTTTTTGACTAAATTTTAGATAATTCTCAACAAATATGAATTTTCCCTTTTCTTGGGACATTTTTTTTTTAACAAAATTAATTTTTATCAATATTTGAAACGAGGCCCACTTCTTCCAATAACTCTCGAGCCCCTTTCAAAACCATCTGCTTATTTCATCCATTTTTTTTACTTGATGTCTCCATACCTGAAATATTTACTTGCTCTTTTACCAGAAGAAACGAGAAGCGCGCCGAGCGTGTCATGTTATTATTTTGCACGTCACTTGCACACACTCGGCGTCTCTCCCGCTAATGAGCTTCCTCATGTCTCAGCCATTTCATCTCCTCCTCCGAGAGACAAAGCGCTCCTCCGACTAGGAATATAACCTGGCGCACAACCTTTCTTTACAAGTTCAAAAGCGTGCACATATCTCTTGTGAAAAGTGGAATTAGACTGCAAACGAGGTTAAAAATTTATGACGTGCACAGTTGCAGCTGGAAATTAAAAGCCGCGGTGCTTGAATTTCCATTTCGAGTGCTGCCGGCTTCGCAGAGGAAAATTAATTGAGTCGCCGCGGGACAAAAATAATACGATGCCGCTCTTTGCTTTTCAAAGCTTTTGCAATTTACTTTTCACTTTGGTGGTGTGCATAAGTTTCGTTGTTGAGGGTGAATCAGAATTAATGCGCAATTTTGTTAAAAATAGACTTTGTCTCCTAATTGATAAAAATTTCTTTTCTATTATTATTAAAAAAAAAGGTCTGATCAGGGCATTGTTCAGGGTCTGATGAGCGAGAAAATAATCAGCATATTTGGGAAAATCTTTACTTTAGCGTAAGGAACATCAAAAAGCTCATGCAAATTTTAAATTCAAAATTAAGAAATTAATACATTTGTTTATTTCTGATTGATTATTTTAAAATTTAAATAATATTTTGAATTTTGGAGAAAAAAACTGCATTATGTAATTTACATTTTAAACGAAAATTAATATTGCATTTCATCAACAAGCACCCCAACAATGGGCTTTTTCCCAACTTACAAATAAATTATTTACTTTAAATATCGCAACAATCGCAATTATAAATTGCATTTTTGAGCTTTTTCAAACCGAAATCTGAAGTCGAAACCGAATTTCCGCCATGATCGATTCATTCAAAGCGTTTGCAAGCCTCCTGGCTGTTTTATTTGCATTCATCGAGGGTGCTTGCCACAGAGTCACTTTGCATCAGGCTGGTATGTGTATAGATTTTTCGAAATATTTGGATAAAAATTCTTGACATGTTCTCTGTCAGGGAGGTCCTGGCTTCGGACCTCATGGATTCTGGTCATTGCCGTGGAATTCCTAAACACGAAGTTCATGATCGACGCTTTGGTTTACATGACTTCCTTGCTCTTCGAGCCCTTTGACACTATAGAGGATGCAGGTTTTTTGAAATGGATGACATTCCTCATTGTCAGCTCAGAGTAGCTATAACTAAAGTACCCAATTTAAACATAAGTCACTGAAGATTTTTTTCCAAGGCTATTGGCCTTCAGCCTCCCGGAGCGGATATTCGAGCAGATCCGAAATCGCCGCACGATTTACTTCATTGGTTTAGTTTATTCGTAAATTTTTTCTTCTTACTTTTGTATCAGACAATTTTTAATAATTTTATTACATAAAATTATAAATTTTATCTTACAAATTATGTATGAATTTGACTTCAATTAAATTTATTTCTATTGATAGGTCCTGTCAGTTATGGATGCTAAGATCGTTCATTATGGAGAACATTGAATGGTTTTCCATCGTAATCTTCCTTTTCATCACGTGTACGTATGAGCAGTGACACCCATCATGCAGCCCTTCTCTTTTGCCAATACTCTCAACGGAATTTTCATTTGAAACCGTCAATTTTAACTTTTGGTCAATAATAAAGGTTACTTTTGACAAAAATTTGAACTTTTTTAGAATAATATTGAACCTATTTTAACTTTACTTTTGTCTTATATATAATTATGTGTCTACTAAATTTTTTTAACGGACGCAAATATTATTCAGAAAATTTTTATTCTTATAAGAGGCGCGAACCGCGGTCTCAGAAATTAATTTTGAATGGCGAGCCAGCTATATTGGTTGACCACTAACACCCATGGCACTATAAACCCCACAAAGCAGGAATGACACAATGACAGACTTTTAATATAAAAAAATTAATCCCGAGAAGGGAACCTAATCCGAAATTGAATTAATATTGTATGAAGTGCATACATTTCTGCAATTTTGAAAAAAAAATCATTGATTTCCAACTGCAGTCAGTCATCGCAGGAAACCCCAAATTTAAAATAAAAAACCACTGACCTGATTGAAGGTCAGGCTGGTCTTGACTCCATGATGTGCGCCTTGCTCTCCTGAAGGGGCTTTCTTGAAAATACATTCCCATTGAGTCTTTCCTTGGTCCGTCGGTTTTCTGCCGCTCCGCCGACTAAAAACAAAATTTTAATTTATTAATTACTAAAGGAATAATGGTAAAATGAATTCTTTAGAAAATTAATTCTACTTAATATAAAAAAAGTAATAATGCAGCATTTATTCATGAGACAAAGAAAGAGAGAAATATTTTATTCTGAAATCAAATAATGAGAAGATTAAAAAATTATCTTAATTAAATCTAACTTGTGGTTCAAAATCCAAGGATTCTTGTGTCCATATGCATAATAATGCGAAAAATCACAACTTGAGACCAGCAAAGCCGGCATGCCGGGTCCGTGGAGGCCACTCGGAGGCCCTCCGAGTCCATGGAGAGCACGCAAAGTCCAAAATGGAGGCCATGGAGACAGTGCTCAAAGTGACCTCTCAACTCGAGGCCTCGAAACAAGAGTCCATGGAGGCAATGGTCTCAAAAGTGGACTAATCGGTTGTGCTCCTGCACTCGAATAATTTTATAATTTTTGGAGAGGGATTTTCCAGTAATGATGAGTCGGCCTTCACATCTAAAAAATTTGTGCGCTTTCCTACCTAAACCACAGCTTCAGCCGATGCTTCTGGATTACCTGTGGTCTTGAAGAACGATTTCGGCCCACAAAACACGTAAATTCTTTGAGAAAAGTCATTCTTTACAGTAATATTCACGCAGCACAGAACAATCACGCACAAACAACACAAAAGAAGAAAAGAACTTGGAAAGCACCGGCATAAATTCCAGGTGCGATTGCAGGAACAACAATGGATACCAATCCAACAAAATTTTGCGCTATAAGGAATTCCAAAACATTTGAATAAAATTTTTATTTACGTTTTCAGAAGTTCCAGAAAATTTTATTAAAAATAATAAAATAAAACAATCATGTATTTTGTAGTAGACAAATTGTAAACTTTTGGAAAAATTTTTGTTAGGTTACCTGCATGTGCTAAAGAATTTTAGCGATTTTAGCTGCCTGCGGTGCTACATCAGGATTGGCGGTGTATATTTAGCCGCGCTTTTCTCTCCAGATTAATTAATCACTACAAAAATCAGCGCCTTATTGATTCATTTTATGAAATTTATTTGTGAAGAAAACCAAATCAATTATCTTTGCTCTCCGCGATTCTATGTTTGTTTTCAGTAAAAAAGAGAAATAAAATAATTTATTTATAATAGGCCGACGATAATATATAATTATCTAATTCATTGTATTGCAAGCAAGTTTATGTACTACTTGCGCAGGCTGGCAGGTCACGTGACGTGACGACAGAGGACAGACGAATGATTTTGGCCACGCCCCTTTTTGCATCTTGTTTATTTTTCTACAGGGACACTCGTTTTGGTCAGAAAATGAAGAAAACACGGAATTAATTGGCGATTTCAACTACTTCGACGGATCCACGCATTATATTTGCAAATGGGAGACGCGGTCAAACCCGAAGTGAAGCAGCCCAGCGATCGAAAGCAGCGGAACAAAAGGCCGAAAAACAAGGGCAAGGGAGGACCCAAGCACGACTGCAGGGACTTTTACGTGTCCGACACGACTCCCTTCCCAGTATGCAATTAAAATACAAATCCTTCAGATTTTATTAATGTTCAGTATATTTTTCTCAGCTTCAGGTTGAAAATTGCGAGCAGCTGATCAGAAAGGAGGGCCAAGTCATCATCCACGGCGTTGGCCCACTCATTTGCAGCGCCATCAATTTGGCTCTTCAGATCGAAAGTGGACACCCTAAAGGCACAATTCAAACCGGCACCACAACCTCTACTGTGGACACGATAGGTTCATAATTTTGAAAATTCTGAATTTTTGCAGTCATATCAATATTTGTTTTTCATCTTGCAGACGAGCACGGTGTTCGAAGACCAGGGTCAGCGATCTCAATTCGTGTTACCCGTTCAGAGATCCCTGCAAGTCCATAGACATGATATTTTCCCTGAAGGAAATCACCCTGTGGCTGGGCATCACCCTCTTCGAGATCTGGGTCGGACTCATTTCCCTCCTAGTGTTTGTGATCCTTCTCGGACTCAGGTCCGAGGGATTCCTGTCCAACACCTCGTGGTACCTCATTTTTGCACCACTCTTTGTAGCCGATGGACTGAACGCTTACTTCTGCATAATCGTTCTCATCAGGATGTACCTAGAGGGACTGTATAAGACGGCTCTGTTCAGAGCATCGTGGAGTTTTGCTCTCTTGGCCCTAGTTTTTGTGTTTCAGTTTTTGCTCTGCCGTAAAATTCAGTCGGCTAGTAATTTCGAGTACACTGAAATAATGACTCCTTTATTTATTATTCTGCAGCTGATTGCTGTCAGAGCTTGTCAAATAAATTAAATTTGTTTTGTGAAAAGTGATATTATGGGAAGATAATTTTAATAAACTTAAAAAGAATGTGCAACCTTAGACCCATACTGCTTAATTAATCGTGCTCTGAGTAAAGAAAAACGCAATTTCAATATTTAGAGGAAAAATGGAATTCTCAGTAAGGCAATACAATTGTGTGATTATGAAATTTTGAACCTTAATATTTTTTTGAGATATTAAAAATAAATCTCAAATTCTGTGTGTAAAATTTATTTGATGCTCTTTTATTAGATGAGTAAAGGAAATAAGAAATTTTTAAAGAAGTAATTGTCAAATTTATAAATTTTTTCCATTCCTTTTTTGTTTTCCTTTTTGTGTGCTTTTTAATTTTTTATATCAAATTAAAATAGCCATGATTTTGGGACTCTCCCGCCAAAAAGATTCAAACTTCCATCGACTGCCCATCCCACTTTTGAAGCAAAACATTCGCACACGTGTGTTTATTGCTTGCGTTTTCGTCGTGTTTTTCTAAATTTTTGCTTCGTTTTGGGAAAATTGGCCACTCAGTGCGATGTCGGCTATAACAGATCAGCTCGTTCCACCAAATCGAGACCAAAATGAATCAAATCCATCGCAAATAAGCTTCAAAAAGCGGAAAGTAAAGCATACCAACGATGAAGTTCGCGATGAAATTTCCAGGTATGTGTTGTTTAAAATTGCAGTTTTTATTGAAGAATTTATTCATATTGCTTTCTAGATTGGAGGATATCCTCTTCAGAAAGTCGTCGGCCAAAGCAGACGTCGAAGAAATTTCAGAGGATGACCGTCGAAGCGTCTCACCGCCACCTGCAAAAAAGGCCGCAGCCTGGGAGGATGACGAAGATTTACACTTGACGTAAAACTCGACGAGTTCAAACTATAACAATTATATTAAATAAATTTTTTGAAACAGAGTTGATCAAGTTGTGAGTGATGTCAGAATCGATCACGTTGTCAGAAAAACAGCCCTGCCTGAGAGCGCCACTTCCGACAGGTACAGCAAGATGCTGGAGGAAAAGTTTAAAGCTGTGGTCGGAACCCCGAAATGGGCAGTGTTGCAAGAGCAGACTGACGACAATGACTTTGCGGCCAAAGTTCTCAGGGTAATTTTAAATTGAATTGTTTTTAGATGATTCCTTCAATTTTTTAATTTTTATAGAATTCCACAAAGTTATTTGGGTCCAGTGGCACCCTGGCTACTACAACTTTGAACTACACTAAACTGGCTGACATGAATGAAAAAGGAATCCTGCGTCAGACCGTAATCACAGCCATCGACTTTAATCCGATGGCACAGATGTCGGCCGTTGCCAATCGATCTGGAAATGTTTCTTTTTATCAAGTAAATAATGGAGAATTTACTTCTTGTAAATTTTAATGGTTTTATTTAAAGGTTGATGGTGATAAAAATTCCCTGCTGCATAAAGCAGCGTTCAAGAACTATCCCATCAGTGCAGCCAAGTTTTCAACTGATGGTCGAGAACTTTTGATAGGGTCGGAGCATAAGACGAGCATGCAGTGCTTTGATCTCAATACGAATAAAGCCACAGATATTCCAGCTCCACTCAAAGGACCAGAAATAAGCAGTACGGAGGTAATTTAAAAAATTGTTAATGTAAAAATTGTTATAATTTTTTTACAACAGCTTTTCTGTTTGTCCGGTAATGGAGAATATGTTGCTCTTGCTGGGAAAGATGGAACTATTGCTATATTGACATCGAGCACCAAGGAACTGATACACACCGTGAAAATGGGCTCAAAATGCAATGCGCTTAACTTTTCTACAGATTCTTCAAAGCTTTTTTCTTATGGCAGTAAGTACCATGCTTACTTAAATAATCTTGGGTTCAATTTGTCACTTCTTATCTCTACATTTTTCTAAGAATTTTTATACTCTTGACGTCAGCTATTTTTAAAATCATTTGAACCCTATCTATTTAATAAATAATTTTTTTCCTTCAGCTGACGGAAAAGTATACGTCTGGGACGTTAAACAACGGAAGTGTCTGCACAGGTTTGTGGACGAAGGATGTCTCGGAGGTTTGACCATGTCCCTCTCAGCAGGAGACCAGTATTTGGCTCTGGGCTCCACTTCAGGTGTGGTCAATATTTACGAAAAGGACTCGTTCTTCCCCAAAGGTAAAATCTACGTAATATTTCCAGGATCTGAATGCAAAGTTTTATTGTATTTTAGGAAGCGAATTATCAATGTATCCCCAGCCTGCGAAAGCAATCATGAATTTGACCACAGCTGCGGACTTTGTTCATTTTAATCCTTCGGCTCAAATCCTGGCCATTGCTTCAAAACTCCAACATAAGGCTTTGAAGCTTGTAAGTTCGATCCTCATTTTATTAATTCTGGACCTAATGAAATTTTTCTAGATGCATCTTCCCTCGATGACAGTCTTCAAAAATTTCCCTGAGCGCAGTTTGGAACTTGGCAGGGTAAATCACGTTGCATTTTCACCCAACAGTGGATATATGGCTGTAGGAACCAACATTGGCATGGCAAAATTGATAAGGTAAATAAATTGTGAAGTAGTTTTTTCATTTAGTTAATAAATTTTTATTTTTTAGATTACATCACTTTAGCAACTACTAAGACCATCTAATAAAGTTTAAAATATTACGTAACTATTGCATAACTTCAGTTTATTGGCCCAAGGGATTTCCCACCCACGGGTAATTGGGAGGGCAAGGTACACAAGAGACCATGATTCGTTCGCCCTCGTTAGGCTTCTGCAAGGTACACGTTTTCTTGGTGCATTCGGCGGGTGTGATGCTTGGACAAGCAAAAGTGTTGGCGGCTCCACCAATGTTTGTTGGATTTTTCGTCCACTCAATAGCTTGCTTGGCAGAAACGAGGTAAACATCATTTAACGTACCAAGATAATCGAGGAATCTTATCGCAAGAGATAACAATTTAGCATTAATTGTCACTTTCTAATTTTCAAAACTCACGACTTGAAAGCGTTGTAATTTGTGGCATTGGCGCTGAACCAGGCTGCGTGGACGTAAAAACCAAAAGGTTCCCTGAAACCGTTGTAGTGACGATCAAAGTTTCCCTTGATGAAATTGAGTAGCTCAGCCTCATTTGTTGCACCGCTTTAAGAGAAAAAAAAATTAGCTCAACATTATTAATTTAAATTAAAAATTTGTCAGATACTTGATGCAAGTGTCAACCATTGCGCAAGGTTTTCCATTTGAACCAAGCCAGTCTACCATGGGGAGGACCCAAGCGCCGGGATGAGATTCAGTCGGGCAAATACCAATGCTGCAATCCTATTTTAAAAGGACTTGTATTTATTTTTCACTTGAAAATTAATAAGCCAAACCTGTTTGCTCAGATAATCCAAGGTATATGGATAGAGTCCGTCGCCGATATAAGTTTGGGTGGGCCAGGAACAGTCGTACAGAAAATTGTTATCGGTGATCATCTTAATTTTTTTAATGATCAAAATTTAGTTTCATAAATTATATAATTTTTTCAATTTACTTGGAAAGTGGCATCTCCTCCTAGTTGGAGGAATGGAGTTCTGATTCCCTGGATCTCACTTGCTGGTATGTTAGCGAAATGCGCAGCCATGTCCCTCTGATCTTTGAATTCACTTGCCAAAGCAGCTGCGGTCGCTGTTGTCCAATAGTCTGGTGAAGTAGTGTGGCTGGAGAAAATTTTGTTACAAAATATATAATTTTATAGAAAATCTCTTTACGAAATAGAGTGGAGGGCGATTTCGTGACCCTGATTCCTCAGGAGGTTGACGACTTGGTAATCGGTGTATTCATGGGACATGAAAAATGTTGCTTTGACGGGACAGCCGTTTGGATTGTTTCTGCCGACAAATGCATCGGAGTAGTAGTTGTCGTACAACAGCCTGGACGTGGCATCGTCGAAAGTGACCAACACAATCTACGCAAAAGCTTGAGTGAATTTTTATATAAAATCATCTTGATTGAACTTTACCTGAGGGATGTCTCTGGGAGTGAAACCTCCTGGAGTAACGCCAGGGTTGAAGCAGCGGCAATTTTGTCCGTTGCATACGCCAGGGTCACAATCGGGAGCGACCCTTGGTCTAATTTGGGCGCATTGGACCCCGACAAGGCCCAAAATTAAAAGAAGTCCCAATTTCATTCTGATTGTGAGATCACTTGCGTTAAGTTGTGCCAATTTCTGAAGACGTCAAGCTATTTAAGCTCATAGGCGGTAAAAGATAAGATTGTGATTTCATCTGCATTTGAAAAACAGATCAGTATCAATTGACGCATTAATGTAAAAATTAACATGCTCAACACTATCTTTTAATATTTAGAATCTCTTAAACTCAGATATAATATGAAAATTTTTATACAGGAATGATAAGTCAGAGTCATGATAATTATGATTAGAAAGTAGAAAAATAATTTATTCTAGTAGATGATTTAATTTCAGTACAATATTTTAGCATATCATTTACTATTACTACTTCTGATAGATGTGGAAGCAACATTAAGGATGCTTGCTCTGAATATGCGCAGTTCCTCAATTTCCTTCAGCATATCAGTATTTTCCTCCTTCATGCTCTTGAGCAGATGATCCTTTTTATTTAGCGCCTACACAAAATAAATTGAAGTCAAAAAGAAATGTCATTTTAATTGGTTCCCACCTCTTCTTGTTTTGCCATTTCCAGTTTATTGTCCTGAGCTAATTGTCTGAACTTGACGAGTTTCTGCTCTTGCGCTGTGAAAATTGATTGGCTGAAAATGCACTGATGTTAAAGAGATAAATTACCAGCAATGGTTTTCTTCAATTCGGTCTTTTCCGACTGATTTTTTTCCATTATATCCTTGAAACCAGATAGCTCTTGCTCAGCCTTTGCCAACTCCTTGGTCTTTATCTCCAAATTAATCTTCGCTGTCTCAGCCACCTATAAACAAAATAAGCATTGACATTCTGCAGACTAAAACGAAAGTTATCAAACCTGTTTCAAGTTTGCGAGAAATCTCTGCAGATCTTTCAATTCTTGCTCTTTCCTTTGACACTGAACATGCAAATCATCGCGCACAGTAATAAGCTCCAAATTCCACCTAATCAGATCTGCTTTCTGAAAATACACAAACATAAATTCAATTTGAGTTTTGATAGAATCGTTAAAATAAAATTCCACCTCTTGCTCAGCAGTATTTGCTTTTTGGATGTTAAGCTCTGACAAAGTAGTCTGGGAAGCCAGAAGTTTCTTGAACGTATCAACCTCCATATTCAGAACAATCAACTTATTCTCATATTTAGAAATAACCTCTTGCAACTAAAATCGAGCCATTATTAAAACCTTTTTTAAATTTATCACAATAATTAATTACTGAATCTGTATCAACAGTTTTGCTGTTTTCAGAAACTTTGATTCTCTTTTTAGCAGGGCTTTGAAAATTGCTGCCGACACTCGTCCTTGAAGCTTCTAGGTAATTCCGCAAACAAAATTGTCTGAAAATAAAACAAATTAGTTCACTATTCCGAGCCATCAGACCTTCTTCTTACCCTTTTTCTGTGAGCTGTGAAACAGCCAAGTTCAGCTCTTTGAAATTTTCCGTCAGAGAAGTCAAGTACGCGTGAGCGATTTCTTCGCACACGTCGTCTCTTTCAAAATAAGCTTGAGCTTTGTCAAGCCACAAGGTGGGCAAAACATTTCCCATGTAGGAAGCCAATACAACGCTGGCAAGCGCAAGATCTCGACAACGACCTCCTACACTGCAGAGCTTAGCATCAAGTAGCTGTTTGTTCAGGTTGTTGCTGAACTCTCCATCAAAATCCGCAACCTGAATATTTTTACTTAGTTAAATGAAAAAATCAATAACGTTTTTGTACTTTTGTGATGAACTTGGCTGCATTTGTCCAAACAGAGCATTCAAGATCTTTGTTGCGACTCTGGTTGTCTTTCAAAGCTCTTACTAATTCTTCAACAGTCAAAGCCACAACCTTTAGTCTGAGCGGATTTGGGGTTTTGAAAAGAATCTCCTCCGAGGTGATGCTCTTAGCCAGAGTTGAAAAGGCGTTGCTCCTCATAGCACATATTACTAAAAAAAACATTTATTTTAATTTTGTACAGTACAAAATATTTTTAGCCGAACCTTTAATTTGCATAGAATCACACTTGCTGAGCTCGTTCAAAATGTAAAAGCAGGTTTCAGTTGTCCAGTTATTTAAAGATTCTCTTGTTTCTTCGTTGAAGGCAAGTTTGACGCTGTTATATTGAAGGCAAGATATCAACTCCAGAAGTGGCTCTGCCAAACAGTTGTACCACTTTTCCTTGTTCTCGTCAGACAACGCAAGGAATTTTCCAAAAAGCAAAAGCCAGTTTTGTTGATACCTGAGGATTTTTGTTAATTTTGTTGCAACGAAGATTAAAACTTTAGCCATACCACTTCACTGAGTTTGGATTGCAGCGGACGACGTCGCACAACAGATTGATGCAATCAATGCAATATATAGTTTCGTCAGGTACGTTGGACACTTTCAAAGTACCACTCAGTAGTAAGATGATGTGGCTGATGCTAAGTGAAGTCGGAGTCAAATTGATATCAATCGATATAAACTCATAGGGTGTAAGAAGAAGTTGCAGTCTGGCGGCCTAAAAAGAAAGAGTTAGATTTCTTGAAAAGACAATATATATTTTTTATTACCATAAGAAGGAATCCATCCCGATCTCCTCTTCCGTGGCTCGTTCCTATCTTTCCAAGGATTGCTTTCAAATCTCTGACTGGGATCATCGACAGTCTGGTTCTGTTGTTAATGAGAATATTGAGGAAAATGTCCAAGTAGACGAACGGTACTTTGTCGATGAAATCAGCATGGTCGTTTAGTAATAGGTCCTTTAATTTTGTCAGTGCCTACAAAATCGGATTTGAGAAATTGGACAAATAAAGAAAATTTGCAAATTACTTTTTGAATCCAGTCATCGGTCAATTTGGCTTTGAACGATCTGGAGCATTTCTGCAGGATGTTCAGGATATGGTCTTCGAATTCACTTTGCTGGTGTCCAACGATGTTGTCCAGTTTGGCAAAGATCCACTCCATTATTTTGGAATCCATTGAAACAAGCTTGCGACCGTAGTAAGTGCAAGTGATGCTCTAGAATTATTAATTTAGTAATTTAAAAATTAGGAAATATATAGGCATATTCTCTTGGAATATAGGCAAAACCATCGCAAACTATGCTTGAAATTCCTCCTCAATAGAAATTTTTAATAAAAAAAAATTACTTCGAGAATGTTGAGCACAGGCAGTGAGTCTTGAATGCCACTTTTCAGACTGCCCTCCAGAATCGAGCCCAAGGCAACAAGCAGGTTGCGTAGCGAGTCTTGATTCAAAATAAATTCATCCTTCAAAGTTTCGTTAAGGCCATGATGACAAGCATAGCCCTTGAACGAATCCTCTGAGAAGCACGAGTCCTCCTTCAGAAGCTGTTAAAAAGCAAGTGTGAGAAAAACGCTTAGTTTACAATTTTAATTTACCTCCAATTGTCGCCTCAGCTTGGTCAAAAGAACATAACTTTCCTCTGCATAGGAATTTTCTAAATTTGCTGTGATTTCGAAAATGCTGTCAAGAACTGGTTTCTCTTCTACGGAGTTTGGACTTTTATTTTCAGTCATGATTATCCTAAAATAATTAAAAATTATTTTTGTAATTTATGGTGGTTATATTTTTTTCTCGCTTACTCGTCTCGTTCGAAATTTGCAATGGTCGATCTTGTCGTGCGGCGCATGGTGCTGCTTCAGTTTTGACTGTCTACAGTAAGAAAATCACTTGTTGGCTTAGAGAAAACCTGCAGGAAAGAAATTTTAGAAATGAAATCGCAAAAAGCAACAGACAAAACGATCAGCATGATTTTTATGTTTTTCATACAACAAAACTGCCGTAAATTGTAAATTTATACCTTAAAATTACTCTTGATGTCGTCGGCAAAGTTCAACACTGGCAACTTCAAGCAAAATTGCTGCAATTTTGGTTTCACTGTCTGAATTGCCGGCGGCGGCAACCTTTGATGTGAGCCCACCAGACTGGACAAAATTTCAAAACACGCGCGTTTAGTACAACCAGTCGCCGACCCAGTCTCTGACGTCGATCATAACAAAACTCCCTAGTCAACTCAACAACTATTTTACTTTAATAGTAAATAATTAAATTTAATTTAACCCAATGATGGCCTTAATAAGTTTTTATTACATTTTAATTTACATTTATGAGAATAAATCAGATTTATGTGAATATTTTGATTGCAATAGCACTCCTCTGACCTCTCCTACAAGTCTTGCAAGTCCATTTCCGGCTCAGCGAAGACGGCAGGAGAGAAGGGGAAAGTTGAACGCATAAAGGAGTGTAAATTTCATGTGAACAAAATTGCGATTTTTCTCTAAATATTGGGCTTCCCGATGGACGGTGAGTTTGTTTTTCCAAATTTAAACATTGAAATGATTGAATTTAGGTGAAAAATTGGGGGTTACACGGCAATTTATTGGTGAAAATCGAGAAACAAATCTCGCCTTTAGAGAGGCGGAGGAGGCAAAATTAGTATTATGCACTTCGGCAGCCTCTCCCTCTTGCATGTAAACAAAGGTTTTTTGACATTCAGTCTCAGATTTAGGGCAGACAATTATCCTCTTAAAATTAAAAACTTACTTAACTGTGGCACCAATTAGTAATAATGTGTAATTATCCACTATAAATCCAGTCATTTTGAATATTATTCGAGAATATGTGTGACTTTTGTAATTATCATCGGACTGAAAATTAAAACTGACTTCATTGTTTCAGATATCCAATCATGGTGGGAAGTTCCAAGCATTGCCCATTTTTGTTCCCTTTTCCGCGCAGCGTTCAACTTATTGGACTTCGACATCGAGGTAAAAAAGTAATTCTTAACTCTTGACACGTTTAATTAAAATTTTTGCTTGACAGGAGTTGGAAGAAGCGCTCCTTACCGATGGCGCTGAGGACAACGGCAGCTCCCTTCTGCAGGAGCTCATTGTCCGTCTACTCTGTGGCTGTGTTCCAAATGGAAATGAAATCTCCGTGTCCAATTACCAAATGTATCTTCGGCGCCTTTTCAGAAAGAAGTGCAAAGTAATGCAAATTTTCCTTCATCTTTTCGTGAACGTGTTCCTTACTAAGTGATTTATTTCCAGGAGTTTGGAATTGTGAATCCATTCAATGCAGACACAGACTTCCAGTTCTTGCCTCTGAGGACCAAAGTGGAAATTCTTTCGTGTCTTTGCGACTTCAGGCTAGAAGGCGAGGATGTCCAAGATCTGCTTAAAGTGAGAAATTTTGCTAAATTTTTCTTTATTGGTTTTAACTTTCCCATAAAGAATTTGGAGGCAGACAGTTTGAGGGTTGAGCCTCTTGGCCAAGATGCTAGTGGAGCGGCGTATTGGTACTTTTATGGCACCAGGCTGTACAAGGAAACATATCCACTCAAGAGCGTAAGTCAAATTATTAAGAAGCTGGGAATATTATTTTGTTTTGTATTTTTTAGAGCAAGAAAAAGAAGCCTCCAAAAAATAAGGGCAGACACAGCAGTTCCTTGAACATCAACCCAGATGCCGCTTGGCAGGTTGTCTGTTATACAGCAGATGACTGGGAAAAATTGGCCCAAACCTTGGAGAACTCGGACCATCCAGCAGAAAGGGCCCTTCATCATACACTGGCTGTTGATTTCCTTCCAGAAATTCCTCGGCTATTTGCAGAGAAAGAGCGATTACACCTGTAAGCTTTTTTAAGGTTAAAAAATTGGGATGATTTTATTGATTACTTTTTAATAGAAAACGAATGATGGAGTATCAACCGAGGAGAACGAGCAGTCGTATCAACAAGCTGAACAAACAGAAGGAAGCCGACACCAAACCTGAAAAGCCGCCGCCTGAAAAGAAGCCGGTTAAAAGTGACAAAGTTAGCCCTGTTAGTTCCAAAAGCAAAAGCCGGGCTGTTGAGAAGATTTACACAAGTTCCGAGGATGAAGCAGATGACGTGCAGTTTTCTCCAGTCAAAAAGTTTATCGAAGAAAACTCGGTTGACTCTTCAGTGAAGGAGGAAAAGATTGCTAGCAGTGAAAAAGAGGAAGTTCCTGAGGAAGACAATTCGAAGGCAAAGAAAGTTCGGAAGAATAGAAAGCGTGGACACGAGAGTGACGAGGACGAAGAAGAGGCAGAGGTTGAGTCTGTCAAGTCTTCTAAAAAGCTGAGGAGTAAACACGACGATAGTAAAAAGGAGAAGAAGCACAAGAACAGTTCCCACAAGAGCCACAAGAAGAAGCCTAAGGTGTTGAGTGAAAACGAAAGTGCCGACGAGCAGAAGAAACGCAAAAAAGGACATCAGAAATTGTCTAGTGAAAACGAGAGTGCCGAGGATCACAAGAAAAAGAAGAAAAGTCAAAAGTCCAAATCTCACTCCAGCAGGCATTCTTCAAGGATCAAACACGCAGAAGTGGAAGATGTGCAGTCTGAGGAAGAGATAGTGAGCAAACGGAAAACACGCAAGTCTAGTCCGAGCTCGTCGAAAAAGGCGAGCGCCCTGGCTTCTGCAGCCCCAGTCGGGAGGCAGACCAACAACTCCCTGGCCTGCGCCACAGGACCAATTATCATTGAGGAGGCTCTACCCAAGAAGCGAAAAATGCGCAGTTCTGAAGTGTAAGTGTTTTTTATTTAACTGGTCAGTTTTGTATATAATTAAGTTTCACGGTTTTAGATTTGCTCAATCGGACGAAGACTTGCAAACAGGAATGTACAAGATTTTGGAGAGGCTTAAGACTCACCCTGACGCATGGCCTTTCACTGACGCAGTTGAGGAAGACTACGCTCCTAGGTATTACACTATTGTGAGGCACCCAATGGACTTGCAGCGAATGGAAGATAAACTCGACTCGGGCAGATACCTTACGTTTGACGACTTCAAGGCTGATTTCAAGCTGATAATCACTAATTGTAAAAAATACAATGGTAGTGAGAATGGTAAATATATATTTTGGGTTTATGTAATAAACAAACCAAACTTTTTTCTCCAGAATATTCCGAAATGGCTGACAGCTTGGAAGCTGCCTTTGAGAGAGCGGCCTGTCGATATTTAGAAAATGAATTTTCTACTGATGAAGAAGTTGCGATAGAGTACACCAAGAACAACGTAGATGGAGCCAAACATGACAAGAAAAGGAAATCCTCCAAATCTTCAACTGCCAAGAGTCCCGAACCCGTAAGGATACCTTTTTAAGCCATTAATTTTCTTTACATTATTTTTCATCAGGAGCCCGTGGCTGAAGAAGTGGAAGGAGAGGAGGAAGAAAGGCACTCCTCGAAGCACAAGAAGAACAAGAAAAAGGTTAAGGATGGCAGCAAAAAGAGTCACAGGAAGCACCACCACAGAAAATCATCAGAGCATGATAAGTCTGATAAATCGGAGGCACCCACTAACGAGGACAACGACGATGTAGAGACTGACGTCGGAGAAGGCTCTAGTAAATTCTGCCCACCACCTGTAGGTCCATATGGGAAAAGACGAGCAGGACCCCCACAGCCTCCAAAGTAATTTAGTTTTTACCTTATAAAAGAAAAATGTATTCATGAAATTTTTTATCTAGGGTGGAGACTGTTCCTAAGAAGTCGGAAAAACGGAAGCAAAGAGATTCTGGTGACGACGAAGATGACGACGAAACCTTCAGCACAGGTGATGTTGACAGAGAAAATAAGAGCCACAGGAAGGACAGCAGCAAGTCGAGGCCGATCATTAAAAAACGGAAAGGGGGTCCTCGTAGCAATGCAGCAATCGAAGCTTTAGAAATAGCCACAGAACAGACATTAAAAGTAAACCTCAATTGAAACACAATTATGTTCTGTATCATTTATTTATTTATTTACTTGCAGGATATTAACAAATGGTTGGATGACACGCCTCGCTTTTCCGAGTTTAGCTCTGCGAGCAACTCGCCTGCGCACTACATAGGCACTGAAGAGTTCACGGGCGCCTCCACCGCAATCGAAAGAGAGTACAGAAAAAGTCTACGGTTGGACAGTGCCGAGTATTTGCGTTTGAAGAAAAGGAGAAGAGACCTTTTAGGCAATAAGGACAAGAGAAGACGTGATCTCCAGAGGACCATTGAAAGATTCCAGCCCGGCAAAAGCAAGGGCAATCTCATCGCCAGCATCATCAAAGCCAAGGATGAGCAGGCAGACACCAGTGTTGTGCCATCCATCAAGCCGCTGAAGGAAAAGGTGGCTGCGTCCACATCCAGCAAAGTGGACGAAAACGCTCCTACCCTAAGTCTAGGCTCTGTTTTGACTGGCATTGGTTTTGGAAGGCACAGTTTTAAGGTTAGTTTAACTAATTATTTTTAAATATTCGAACCTATATTATATTTTTTATTTTAGAAGGAAGATGCGCCTGTGGAAAATGAATCTGATGACAAGGAGAGTGAGGATGAAAAGCCAGAGGAAGTGGTCGAACCGAAAGAAGACGTCCAAGAGAGCAAAGAGGAGGATAAGGAGGTGAAAGAGGCAAAGGTAGAAGAGGAGGATATTGGCAAAGTAGACTGCAACAAGGCAACCCCTAATCTGAGTGCCTGGTTCAAGGCCTTTGGCGCTCCGAAACCCGCGCCCCCCAAGAAGAAGGAAGACACGCCCTCAATCAGACCCGCAGAGTCAAAGTCTGCTCAGAAAAGTCCTGTGACCTCGCCCACAGAGGTGGTGGCCCCTCCTGCTCAGAGGCAGCGCAACTTGAGCACCGGCAGCAGCAGCATATCCGACCTTTCGTCTCCCTTCAGTCAGGACCCGGAAATGTCTCCTAGAGACACCCCCAAGGCTGCATGCCACCAGTCGCCCCCGATGGCCTCTCCCACCTCTCCCCGCACACCCTTCAGTAGCCAAGTGCCTGCAAACTACCCCTACAACGGCAGCATCAAGGTCGGCTTCTACCAGGAGCACAAAACCAGCCCTGAGAAGAGTCCACGCGACGAGTCCTTGCCAATGGTTCCCTCCCCTGTACAGACTGTAAAGCCGCCCCAAGCCACCCCTCCGTACTCGACCACCAGTCGCCACTACAACGAGCAGCAAATCGCCCACTACACTCAGCAACAGCAGCTGCCACCAGCACCACCAGTGGTCATGGAAAAACCCGCCCCTGTCCCGCACATTTCACCCCCGGTCCCGCCACCAGTGATGCAGCAGCCGTACAGCCAGAATAGTATGCTCTACGATATGTCCAAGCCGCTTACTGACCAGTACAGAGAGACTCATAAACCTCTCGCTGACCAGTATCGAGAGACTCTCAAGCCCATGACTGAACAATATCGAGAGACTCTCAAGCCGATGACTGAACAATATCGAGAAACCCTCAAGCCCATGACTGAACAGTATAGAGAGACGCATAAGCCAATCACTGAACAGTATCGCGAGGCCCATAAACCTCTCGCCGACCAGTACAGAGAGGCTCACAAGCCTCAGCCTGTCCAAAGGTCCCAAGCGCCTCCAGCTGCCCATTCAAACACCCCCATGATCCCAGATTACTCGAAATTCGACTACACCAAACTGAATTACGGCCAGCCGCAGCCATACAAGACCCCTGTGCTTCTGCCTCCGCCCCCGCAGTCCGCCCCCGACCCCAAGCTGCTTCAGCAGTATCCAGTCAAGAAAAGAATGGTCTACACCGCAACGGACGAGGAGAGGTACTCGTCAGCTGTCGATCTGTACCAGCAGAACCAACGCCTTGTGGCGCCTCCCTTGCCGACGTACTTCGACCCGACGCCGCCCTCGGTCTACCCTCCGTACGACCTGTCAGCCACCATGCCCAAAGAGCCTCCGCCGCAGCCGGCCAAGCCCAAGAGGGGTCGGAAAAAGGCGGCCGAGAAGGCGCCGGTCGAAAAGGAAGCGCCGGCCTTCTCCTCCTTCCCTCTGGGAGGCCTCAAGCCGCCCCCAGGCGTGGTCCCCGGGAGCGCCTTCAACTTCGGTCCACCGCCCGGTCTGCACCTGTACTCGCAGGAATTCAACTACCGCAACTTCAAACTCAAGTCGCCGCCCCCGAGCGTGGCGCCGCCGGTCAGCTCGAGTGGCCAGACGGGCTCGTTCCCCGTCGCCACCTCCGACTCGTTCCACCAGGCCGCCTCCTACTACCACCACCAGTTCACGCAGGCGGCCACCGGCACCGGGCCTGGACCCACGCCGGCCGCCTCCCGCTCCAACTACATGATGGAGCAGCAGCTTTACCAGCAGTACTTCCAGCGGCCAGAAAATTTGTTGCAGCCCAGGCACGATCCGTCCCTGCTGCACCAGGGGCTGTACGCGCCGGCCCCGTCCGCCTACCACCACTCGCTGGGCATCAGGCAGCCGTTCGACGTCAACAGGCCGGGATGGTTGTGATTGGGCCAAGAGGGTTGGAACGTGTGGTAGCACAGACACTTGAAATTCACGAGCTGCTTTCATGGAAAATTATTTTTCGTCTCCAAATTTTATATATATTTTGAGCACTCCCAATTTACTTTTTATTGGGAGCTTTTAAATTTTCAGACATCTTTCATTTTTATGCTTTGTTGGACTTTGAATAACTCAATCAAGTTGTTGCTTAGAAGACTGTATTGTGCATCCGGTTTCTATAATTCAGTGGTTAAGTGTCTCGTTCTCTCTTCACTATGTAGCTGTGGTGTTTGTACATAGTGCACACATGCCGTTCTTTACACGCTAAGTAATTAAATTACTCCTTGTTACGCATTAATAATAATACAATTATGCTCGGTCGCAAATTTAATCATTATTATAATTGACTAATCGATTGCGGATAATCTTTTTATAGTTCTGTTGATTGTTGAGTTGCAAATTTTTTATGTTACTTGCTGAGAGAATCAAAACGCTGTTTTTATCTCTAATTGATGAGTTTTACGGTTGGTACAGAAAACCAGAAAAAGCGCTTTTTATTCTCGCGCCACCAAAGATTCTGAAGTTTGTTCTGTTGACGAAAGAAGTGTAGAAGTTTTCCAAAATTATTTAAATTGTCACAAGGACGGATCTCAAAGAGTGTATTATAATGTTTCTCACAGTCTGGGAGTCTAATTAAACTACTGCATCTGAACACTGGGATCCATATTGTGGTTTATTGGTGTAAAATATTGCCATATAAATACATCACCATCACAGAAGCATAATATTTTATAATGTAAATAAGATAAATAGTGTTAATCTATTTTGTTATGAAAAGACTTCAGAAAATATAAAAAAAAAAAATATGTTATCAGAGGTTGGAATGTATTGACGGAGGCTCTCCAGATCTGGCATCATAGGCGAATGCGAATCTCTATATTGCAGGAAGCCTCCATCGCTTAATCGCAATTATACCTACTATTATGTGTACTGCATCACACAATAAAGTTATTGTAAGATAATAAAGCACACACCTGTGTTTATTTTTAATTTATCACATTTTCTCGACCAATTTCAAGTCGATTTTCCGATCAGGCACGCGGTTCATGCGAAACACCATTCCAACAGGGGAATCATCAATAGATATGAGTTTGTACTTTTTCAAAATCTGTAAAAATTAAAATGAGTATATTAAGTATAATGGACAAAGTATTTCGTACCTCGCTCACTATTAATTGCAGCTCCTGGTCGGCTAAACGTCGACCAGGACACATTCTCGGTCCATGACCAAAAGGAAGAGAGGCGTAGGGGTGATGCTTTTTGTACAACTCTTCATCCCTGAGCCACCTTTCAGGCACAAATGAATCGGGATTTTCAAAATATTCCTCTTGAAGAGACGAAATTGAGCTGAAGGCCGAAACTAATGTCTGGAAATAGATTTTTTTTTATAACAGAAATTTAATTTTAATGTGGATTACTTTTGCTGGGATCAAATAATTGCCAATTACTGCATCCCTAAATAAAAATCTTGAGGTACCACCCGCTGTAGGTGACAGTCTGAGGGTTTCTTTGATGCACGCCCTAATGTAAGGGAAATCATTTTGTGCTGATTGACTCTCCTTGGCTGCTTTCTCTTGGCTCTCTTTGTTCAAAGCCAAGTAGTTCAGACACATGGCAGCAGCAGTGGCAGTCTAAAAAATAATTATTTAAAGCAATGAATCATCCTAACTAAAAAATCTTACAGCGTCAATTCCTCCAATAAAAGACTCCATCACTAACATGACAACATCTTCCTTAGACAACTCTGGGTTCTTCATAATTTCAAACATAAATGGATGCTCAGTTTTAAAATTTGTAGGATCCGAGCTGAAGGAAACCCAGGCGCTGTCGACCTTATCTTTCAGAAGAGAGTGGAATTTGTTGTGAGCATTTTCCAAAAGACGATAGCCTTTGGTTTTAAACAACCTCCACAGGGGAGGGCCCATGAAGGTCCTAAACAATCCGTCCATGAACTCAACATTAGCTTTGCTGATTTCTTTGAACTCCTCTGTCTCACTGAGCTCTAAATTTCCAGGTGTAACAACAGATATTGCTGTTGGAAAATAATAGAAATTTAATTTTTAATTTCAGCATGTAACAAAAATAAAACCTTGTATAGCAAAATTTGTGAGGTGGAAATGAACATCACGCAGAACTCCATCACCATCCAGTTGAGCTTTCAAACTATCAGCAAAATTAGTTGCCACTTTTTTCTGACGATCAAAGTACGCTTCGTAGACCAACTGCTTCAAAAGTGGGTTTATAGCTTTTCTAAATTTGTACCACTCGCTGCCATTTCTATTATTTAAAAAAAAATAATAATAATAATAACTGATATTTATGAAAAATTTTAAACGGTCACATACCCAGGAACAATACCAAAGCTGCCATAAGTATTTTTTCTGTAATGCTCAAGTGCTGGGAAGGAGGGTCTAAATGGTCTGACACCCTCTGCTTGAAACATCTTTTTTGAGTCCTCGGGGTCAATCGATATCACCATCTCGGTGCTCCCAAGCTTCAGTTTAAAAACTGGGCCCAGTTCTTTTGCCAGCGAATTGACCGCCTCAGTCAGTCTTTCAAAAGTGTAGGGTCCTAGATGAAAAATTATGTTATTTTCGATGGAAAGAAAATTTAATTGGTACCTTTTTTGCCGAATAAATGGGCATTCCCGATTAATGGCCACGACTTCGGTGTCGGCAGAGAGCTGTATGGTTTGGCAGTGGTGCTCAGAAATTTCTTGCAATTATAGAAATATTTTGACTCAAATTTTAACAGCATCTTGTATGAGAGAAAATTTGCAGCGCGTCAGAAGACAATCCAGTTTCAGGTTCAAGATCAAACTGATGATTATTGTCAGCAGAGGAAGAGAAAGCTGTAAAAATTTCAATATCAAAACAGGACTGATTATTTATTCACTCAAGAAATGTGTCTGCATAATGGAATAAAGTTGCGCTGTATTGAGGTGTCAAAGTCCTCTCTCACCTCTCTCATGCACCCTTTTACTTTTCACATCTCGAAGTCAAATATGTAAAAAAACAACATGCTAAGTTGTGTGCATATGTAAAGTGCGCGGCATTGACATTTGATTGAATTATTTATTCAAATTCGTTGCTTGCTTTCTTCTCTACAACCGGCAGATGCGGCAGATTATGCATTTTTGAGTTTGGACAAAGTGGGCGTGATTATTTTGGTTCCAGACGAAGGGGGCGTGGCCGGATTGTTGAACTCGGCGCCACTTGTTGAAAATTAAAAAACCTCGCATGGCCGCGCTCAGACTGAAAATATTCACGTGTTTGCGACTCATTTAAGAGGTCAAAGGTCAGTATTTTTCTTGCTATGCAAAACACCAGTAAGAGCAAGTCCTTGAGATTTAATTTTGATGCTTTTTAACCCGGCAAAACGCAGGGAAAATACACATTTTTATTCAAAAATCTTTCCACAGGTTCGACTGCTTATCAGAACACGGATGATTTTCGCCCATCTCCCATCACGAGACTGAAATTTTAATCACTTGGGCGTTTTATACTTGATCGATGGCCTTGCGTAACTCCCCAGACGCATCTTAATTGTGATCGAGTCTGAATTTTAATAGGTAATTTTCATAAATTTCGTTACATAATCCACTTCATTTAGTATTCATCTGATGATGTCTCCTGCAGTTGTGCAACATTCACATGAAATTTTATTTTCCTCGGTACATGAGACTTTTTTATCTTTCAGTTTGTTGGCTACATCCGACTGAACAGCTCCTAAAATGACCAAGTTTAAAATCAACTCGCTTCTCCTGCCTATGAAAGGGCACTACTTCCTTTATAATGGAGGTATGAAGACAGTTTTCAATTTTTGGATTCATTAATGAAATTTGACTTTTCATAGGTACGGCGCCTGTTGTTCCATTTATGCCGGTTTTTGCCAAGCAACTGGGATTTTCCTCTGTTGTTGTCGGAACTCTTTACACGGTCCTGCCCATAGCGGGGATGGTGGCCAAGCCCTTGTTTGGTGGACTGGCTGACCGGCTCAAGTGGCACAAGAAACTGTTCATGTTTTTCCTTGCTTTGACTGGAATACTCTTCTTCCTCATCAACTTCACGCCCAACGCCAACGAAGGCAAGGTTGGCCCAGGGGTTGACCTCGACTGCGGTGCAGTCACGTTGTTCAAAACGTGCAATGTGACGGACAATTGCGCCCTCACCAGACTCTTGGTCTATGCAGGCAACGGGACTGTTGACTGTCACATCGATTGCCCAGAGGTTAAAAAACTGTAATTTATAATTTATGATAACATAAGCCTCGTTTAAAGAATTATTTTTAAGTACAAATTGTTTCTAACTTCTTTAAAACCTGCATGTTATAACATGATAATATTATCATTAATTAAAATAAGCTGATTTTGAAACTAATTATATTTTAATGTATTCAGGTTGTGGGCAGTGAGTGGAACGAAGAGCTGTGCAAGCAGTGGGGTCTAAGCCAATACTGCAAAAGCAACGCTGACCACCCAATGGTGTTCGATGCCAAAGTTCCTTTGGCCCACACGGAGCAGATCGAGAACTGCATCTACTTCCGAGTACAGACGGCAATTTTTGAGGAGAAAAGTGTTATCCCCTATTGCAATGCTCAGATTTCGACCAGTAATTGTCATGTAAGGAGCTAAATTTTTAAATAAATATGTCTCAAATAATTAATAATTAAAGGTCACATGCAAAGAACCTGTGGTCAACGAGGTTCTCCATGTGAGAACTGAAGAGGCCTCGGCCAAGAGCTGGAGTTTTATCTACTTTGCCTTTCTAATGTTGACATCGTGGATCTCAATGGCTGTGGTCGTCAGCATTGGCGATGCCATTTGTTTTGAACTTCTAGGTACACAAACTTCAATCAATTTTTGTTGTCTTAAAACAAATTACTATCATTTTTGCAGGAAGCAAGCCAGCTAATTATGGAAAGCAAAGAGTTTGGGGCTCTGTCGGCTGGGGCATTTTTTCCGTTTTGGCCGGCTTCCTTGTTGACGAGTTCAGTCAAGGCAGGACGGAGAAAGACTACTCCGTCGTTTTTTATATGTGCTTAATCATTTTGAGCGTGGACTTCTTATTCTGCACGAGACTGAAAGTAGGTTTAAAATTTTGTTCAAAGACTTACTTTTTAAGCATAAAATCAATTTTCAAGGTATCTCATACTCAAATGTCGGCCAGTATTGTGCACGACATTGGCCGCCTACTCTCTCAGCTTCGAATCAACATTTTTCTGCTGTGGTGCATCACTGTTGGTTTGAGCACTGGTCTGCTGTGGGGATTCCTCTTTTGGTAATATATCGAGAAAAAATTCTTGGAGAAATTTGACTGAAGTTTTCTCAGGCATTTGGAGGAATTGGCTGCAGCCCAAGGTTGCTCTTCTCTTGAGTGGATTAAAACTCTTGAAGGACTGGTAATGGGCGTCCAGTGTTTTGGCGGAGAACTGCCCTTTTTCTTCATTTCTAGTAAGAATATTTCAAATACATTCCTTCAGATTTAATCCTTATTTTTCTTCATTTTTTTATAGGCTGGGTGCTGAAGAAAATCGGTCACATACATGCCATGTCGATGGTGCTGTTTGGTTTCGGACTGAGGTTTTTCCTATATTTCTGGCTTGTGGACCCCTGGTGGGTTTTGCCCATTGAGCTTCTCAACGGAGTTACTTTTGGTATTTTTTACGCAACCATGGCTTCGTATGCCAGCAAAATCGCTCCTCCAGGAACAGAGGCTACAGTTCAAGGACTTGTCGGTGCTGTTTTTGAAGGAATCGGTAACTAAATAATTAATTTAAATTAAGACAATTTTTATGTGATTACTTTCAGGTGTCTCACTGGGCAGTTTAATTGGAGGACTGATGTTCCAAAAGATTGGAGGCGCCAACACCTTCCTGGCTTTTTCAATAATGAGTTGGGTCCTTTTCTGTCTCCACGTTGTCGTGCAATTTTTCATGCAACGAGCGACTCCGAATGAGTGGCAGCAACAGCAGGAGGAAGTCAAAGGTTTGTATTTCCTCAAAATGTTTTGTACTCATGGTGAAGGGGGAGGATGAACAAAAAATAATCTGATTTCAGAGCTTCCCGAAGGTGAAAATTAATACTGCGGTTCAATTTTTTGGTAATCAGCACTTTAATTGCTTGCAGTTGGTGTTGAATGTTGTCGAGAAAAGCAGTTGTGTGCAATTTTGCTTCTTAGCTAACATAATTTTTGCTCGTTGAATGCATTTGATATTCAAGTGATTTTTTTTGCCCTTGACAGCTCTTCTGTCGTCTTCCTGACCTTGCGGACCTGCCGTCTGTAGCTCGATGTAGTGAATTTTTTGCGATCTTTTATCTTTCTAACCTGCACGTGTAAAATGATTGATTGATATTGTTAGATGGAAGAACATTTAAATCCTCAATAAAAGAAGCATATTATTATAATTTGATTGCATCAGTTATCAGAGATAGGAGACCTTTTGTTTCAATGTAGAGCCCGTCAATCAGAAAGTTGATTATTTTATTATAAATGGCGTGTAGTAGAAACAGTTTTAAATCTTAGTAATTAAGTTGACCTTTGACCCGTAAAATCATGATTAACGAAATTATTATTTATGTTTGCAGAATTTGCAATGACGGCTATGTACGCATCACCGCAAGACGCCATTCAAATGTTGGACGAGCAACCAGACGATCTATCCAGAAGATGAAAGTAGTAAAAATTCTAGACCATAGTTAAAGACTATCTAGCTCCCATTCCTAGAAAGCAGCCAACGACTGCCTTGAATTCTGTTGAATGCTTTTTTCAGTTTAGATTGCTCAATATATTATACTTGTGTAATGCGAATCAATTGCACCAATCGAGACAGCGAAACTGTCGAAAAATATCTACAATAATGCAAAAGAGCAGGGTATATATTTTTGTAGTATGAAAAAGTAGGCATTTCTTGTGTGCATTTTTGTGATCTCCACAGCTCTAAGCTGCAGGGGAGAAATTTGAACCACTTCTTTATTTGGGACTTAAAACTCCCTCTGGAATGGATACATTTTCTCTTATTAGGTTTCCTATCACTTTCTTTGTTCTTGCCTCGTCACTAGAAATAATGAAATTTTTAAACTTCTCCCACCTTAAATTGTTTGTCATAATAAATTTTGATTTGATGTATGTATTTAGAGCTTAAATTTTTAATATGATGATATTGATTATTTAAACCCAAATATAATGTAAATCGTTGAAATACTTTGATCAATTTAAAATTATATAAATTCTGTTGCTAAAATTTAAAAGTCTTTGGCTCGCATCTCTGATATTTTTTAATAGTTTGAATTTTTTTAGTTTATTAAGTTTCATATTTTTTCTGTATAGAGTTTAGAGTATAGATCAACATATGTACAGAAATAATCTTTGGAATAGGTCACTGTAATACACTCAATATCACAATTATTAATATTATTGATCTTTATTGACGTATGAGGCGTCACCACGATGTAATTACTCATTGCGACGCGCCCCATTTGCAACATAGTACAAAACAAGTAGAAAATAGAGAGTAAAAAACAACAAAAATATTACAATGTATCAATTATTTGAAAAAACTCTTCTTTGCTATAAACTATAAAATTTATGTGAATGAACAAATCGCCTCAAACTACTTTCAAAAATCTTGTATCGAGGCTCTAAGCGAATCGAAACAGGCAATTTGTTATACAAAGCAGCTAAACAAGTCAAAGGGTTCTGCTTAGAAATTAACAAAGTCTGAGCAGGAACATACAAATCACTTTTTGCCCGTGTCTGATAATTATGAACTTCACTTGTTTTTTGAAAATAGTGCGAATATTTACGAACAAATTTACACGATTCGAAGAGGTAAATTGAAAACACAGGCAGAAAGTCGAATCTAGCAAAAAGCGGCCGCGCAGAACAAAGCGGCTCCGTACTGCGCCAATAGCGCTCACCCGCAAGAGCTCTCACCACTTTTTTCTGCGCCAGAAAAACCTCGTCCAACGCCTGATTCGACCCTCCCCAAATTACAATACCATAACTCATAATGGTCTGACAATAAGCAAAATATACCATTTTCAAGCACTTTTCGTCAACAGCATGCATCAAATTGATAATCAAAAAAACCGCACTATTTAATTTCCCAACCACATAATCTGAATGCTCAGTCCACTTCAAATTATGTGCAAGAAGGTACAAGCCCAAAAATTTTGTCACATCTGATTCAGTCAAATTGTCGCCATTTAAAGTCAAATTAAAATTATCATGGTCTAGCACAGGGCGCCTGAGTTGAAAATTAAGCACCACCGTCTTATATAACTCTAATACAGCTTACTAGATTTTTTTTTTTTTTTTTAAGATATTTATTTATTTTATGATACAAGTCCAGCCAAGCTCGAAAGCTTATCGGCTGGTGCTCACGTTAACTGACGAGCAATTTGCTCGCCAGCTATACAACTAACAAAATATGCACAGAATTATTACAAACAAGTGTGTCACAAGCTAATTCATGGACGAGTACAATTTTTTTATTTTCAATTTCACTTCCGTCTTGGTTTGTAAATTTTTTAATTCTAGTGGCAATAAATTCCACAACCGTGGCAAAATGAACTGAGAAGTTCGATCAAAATATTTGTTCTCACTCATCGGTTCTATTACAGGATTTTGTCGTAACATTCTTGTGTTATGCAAATGGGTGTACGGTACACCATGGTCCGAATCAAAATATTTTACACATAATTAGTTTATTTCAAAAATTTTATCAACCGGCAATACATTCCAGAATTTAAATATATTTAAAATATATTTGTAATACACAATTTTACACAAAAAATATTCTTGCACGCCATAGTACATTTGTCGTAGAAATAATTTACCTGCCATCGCACGGATAGCTCTCTTTTGAGCAATGAAAACCTTTTGCAACATAGGCGACCAAGTATAACTGCGGGACAACAAAAGTATTATTATTCCTCAGTTTAACACATTTGTATTTTGCCATTTTGCTTAGTCCAAAAATTCTAAAAGTCTATATCCATGTTTTCAACTTGATCATTGTTGAATCCATTATTATTATTATTATTGTTCTTTATATTGTATTATGGAATGTAATCACATGTAATGTCTCCCGTGCGACCCACCCATTTACAATTTTGTCAAATGAAACACACAGCAGGGAAAAAAGAAATTTAACATATTTACAAGTTATTTTTGTAATTTACATATTCCTCCTCAGTATAGAACTTGTGAAAACTAACAAACTTTTTTAACAAGCCCACAAACTGAGGGATTCTCAACTCCAATTGAATAGATACAGGCAAATTATTATACAAGCGCGACAAGCAAATGAGCGGATTTTGCCTCGAAATAGCACACGTCTGGACCGGCACGTACACCTCAAACTTTTCGCGCGTCTCATAGGCATGCACATCTCGCGTTTTAACAAAATACTGAGGGTATTTACGCACAAATTTACAAGCCTCAATCAAGTAAATGGAAAACAGTGGCAAAACATCAAATTTTTTAAAAAGAGGCTGCGCCGAACAAACAGGCGTCGGACCAGGCCAATACCGCTCGCCGGCCATCGCACGAACAAGGATCAGGGATGAATCTATCCACAAGCTGCTGCATAGTCGCTGTTAGCTTTTCGATCTCAACCTTTAGCTCAGAAGTGTTCCGCATCAGCTTCTCTTTGCTCTGCTTCAGTTGAGAAATTTCATGCTGTTGTTGAGAATATTTCAAATTTAGGTTGGATTTCACTTTGCAAAGTTCCCGTTCGAGCTGCGTTAGCTGCGTACGAAGAAAGTGAATATACAACGTACAATTAATTATTTGTAATTCATTCTCGCAGCTTCAGACGTTCAGACAAGCGACAAGCTTAAATTATTTTTAGAACATTCACTAAAATGATACAAGTTAATTTTCCTCCCACATTTTTCACATTTGCAGCCATTATTTACATTTGAATGGTAATTTTTATTCTTACAAAATAGAAAGTGAAATCCGTGTATTGTTTAGACTTTGTGAATTAAGATACTTGCAAGGCTTTCTTAAGGAATCGAGGTTTAGCACTTTCGAGTTTATTCATGTCACCTAGAGTTAGATGTGGCCAGATAGCCTCGATTCCGTAAGTTGCAATAGGCCCAATTGTGAGCTCAAAAATCTTAAGTGCCGTAGCTAGTGAGGACTTAGGCAAGGCACTAAAGGTTGCAGAAGCGCAGATTGATGCTTTTACTCTTCTGTTAATATGTTTTGCAAATGAAGTGCCCGACGATTGGAAGTAGTTGGCCAGGTCAGGGCCGGCCAAAGGGAGGGTCACGTCATATTAATGAGAACATATTTTTATGATATATATCCAGGTTCAGTGGGACTGTCCCTGGGTTCCATCTCCTCCTCGCCGCTTCCATTGTTGATGACTCCATGGGAAGAGCTTTGCAAGTCTTTTAGCGGCAATTTCGATATGTCCTCTTGTCTTTCTTTGAAGGATTTCTGTAGGTTCCCATATATGCTGGAGATGATCAACTCCATACTGTCCGCACTGATAATGCCCACGTTGAATTTGGCCGTTACATCCATTAGGAATGGAATAGTCTTTGTATCCATGTCATTTTTCTTTTGCAGCATTTCCAGCACAGTATCGAGTACCCAATTAAGCATTTCATGGCCATGGCCATCCGAAGTGAAGAAGTTTGGATTGTTGATGACTCCATTGGAAGAGCTCTGCCGGTCTTTTCGCCGCAATTTCGATATGTATTTTAGTCTTTCTAGGAAGGAATTCTCTAGGATTGAAATGACCTCATTCATGCGGGGGACAAAAAGCTTCGCACTGATAGTGCCCTCGAAGTCGGCCATTAACTGCAATAGGATTCGATTGGTCTTTACATCCCTCTCAGCTTCCTTTTGCAGTACTTCCAGCACAGTATCGAGTGCCCCATTATTAAGCATCTCATTGTCATTCCAAGTGAAGGGCTTTGAATGATCATTAAGAATTGCAAATTTTGGCTTTGTTCTGTAAAAAAAGATATTAAAATTTAGTGTTTAATACAAAGATAATACCAAAGATGACAACAATTTTTCCGGAAACTATTCTTTTCTTGCATAAAGATTTAAAGTTATTCTTCGTTCCCTTCCAGAAATGTGTGTGCGTGCGCGTGTGTGTGCGCGCGCGTGTGTTGAATATTTTTTTCCATATGTGTAAAGACTTGAAAGCATCATGTTAAATAATATTTAATATTTGCCCGCATACAAAGTACAAAATCAAAATTTTCAAAACGAGTTTTAAAAATGGTCAAAGGGAGACCGTGACCGTAACTGAAAGATTCCAATTTTTATTTTGAGCCGAGCCCATCCTTCGCTTCATATTCTTAATTGTAAGTATATAGATTTTAAATTGAAGCCATTGAAGGTTAAATTAAAACTGGAATAATGTCAAAAATAATCAAAGATGCCGTGATAAAATAAATCACTGCAAGTGCAAACTAATAATATTGAATTCATTATAAAAATCGTAAGACATAAAATATTTATATTTATATAGCATTGAAGTGAGAAATAAGAAAAAATATTTGATGGCAAGCCGATGAGGACAATTAAGTGGCGCCATCAGAGCGCTATTGAGAAAGTAAGCTTTAGCTTAAAAACGGCTAGATATTATTTTGTTTTATTTCAAAAGTTAGTAAAATTTTCAATTGATTGGCTACTTAAAACATTCGAAAAATTGATTTATGTAAAAAAATTATATTTGTACTTTGAGCCTTCTGTTTGGAAGTAAATAAATTTTGACGTCATCAAGCCAGTGGAATTAATTAATTTTATTATGAACATGACTCTCTAAAATTTAATGTTTTTCTTTTTTTAAATTTTTTCTCTAAATTTGTAAATCTAAAAAAAAGAAAACATTATTATAATTGTTTAAAAAAGGATTTGGTATTGGATGCCTTTGCGAACAACTAAAGTGCACACTTTTCTCAAAACGAAATCATCTGCGAAAAAGAACAACCCTCACTTGCAGACCCAGTATGAGAAATCATTCAGGTTCTCCCGAGAAAAATCCACTTGGATCGAGTGGGTATCTAACCCATGCATATAATCTCTGGGATAGATGACAAGTGTACAAAAGGGTGGCCTTAAAGCTTGTTCATGAGCGGAGACTTTACAGGAGAGCCACCAATTTTTTGTTCTGATCGCATAATTATCCGGCCTTCTTCGTACGTTCTCAGGCCGAAGCTCGCAAACACTTAATTAATTAACACAATGCCCGCTTACGAAGTTAGTTTTTGGGAACTTTGGGTCTTATTGTCAACCAAACCAGTTGCTCAAAATTTTACGTTATTCCCACAAAAATTATCGCCATCCTTGAAATTTATATCAACATACTCGTCTGCTCCTGTTGTCTGCATCTCATCATGCTGAGAGGGAGTTAGTCCTGGTTCTGCCTCTGCCATGGTTCAATCCTAAGACATTTATGTTATTGGATTACACAGCTCTGGTGAATTTAAACAGTAAAAATGAAGGAATATTTTAATCAAACCGACTTACCTGGCGCAAACAATAAATGAGCTTTTCGAGAATGATGTGACAAGGATCGGACGAGTTGGTTTGGTTGAGTGTGCAACAAAAGGAAACGCAGTTGTCCGGAAGTTGTTCAACTGGAAATAAATTTGCAAATTAATTTTTGAATATGGGATAATACCCCAGCTGCCAAAATCGACGGTTCAGAGGGGATAATATCCGACTGAAAGTCGCGATGTTGGCTTGCTTGGGCCTGCCGACCATGATGTATTCAAAGTTGACGTAAAATAAACTGATTAGCATGCTTGGATTTTGAATTTTTAGAAAGATTGAGTATTGAATAATTTAATTTTAAACAGAACTTTACCCTAATTGGATTCAGACAATGATTTTTATCGTGTGATCGTGGGCAAGTTTTGGCCGGTATGTGAAAATGAAAATGAGAGCCACCAGCCAACATGTGAATCCTGCTGAACCAGCTGAGAGATATGTTTACCTAGAGAGAGTCCATAAGGGAGACGATGGCCTACCCTCCACGTTCGTTGGTGCTGCTGCTACGCACGGTGATTGGTCGATTTCGAGCTTCGAGCAAAATTCCACCAGAGCGGCGCTGCGGTCGCGTCCTATCTTTCCTATGTAATTCAGCAGCACCAAATAAAGTGGAGGGGAGGCCATCGTCTCCTTTATGGACTCTCTCTATGTTTACCCTAGGGATTGTAGAATCTGCAAGTCATCCGTGCAGTGAAATCTGTTGTCAAGTCAAGAAGTGTCAAGTCTGTTCAGTCTGTTGTTTCTGTTTTGCTTTTTTCCGACCAATCTGATTTCTCCATTTTTTCCAACCTGAAATCTGCACCCAATCTGCACCAATGTATTGGTTCTTTTGCTTTAGCCGCGAAGAAAAGGAATCTTTTGAAATTTTCGATGCTGTTTTTCATTTCAAATTTTCACGCTATATAATATGTTATGTACATATTTTAATATATTATGAACATGCGAGTAGGAAATAGGAATTTTTGGACATAAAAAACTTTATCACCATCATTATTCTATTCCCCACCCTCCTCAACCCCCAACTCCATTAAATTTAATCCCCGCTCTCTCGGTCGGCCCCCTTCTCCCAGAGCTAAAGTTGAATCACTCGAACCGATGACGTCACTTTTAATCCAGAGGGCCACACCCCCCACTACAAAAGATCACACAAAAAAGTTGCATCACGAGAGAGAAGGACGCCTCTGTCTGGCACGAAACTCTTCGTCCAAAGTCCGATTTCTTGCCGTCCAGACCACATTGTAGTGCCATCCGAGACATCCAAGTCACCGAGACTCAACTTCCTTTGACTTCAGGACGCGATTTTGTCGACTGGAAAGGTAGAGAAACCTCCACCGAAAGCAGACACGCATACACACGCCCTTGTGTCATATTTTTTACAGTCGGTCATGTATTTAAATTAAAACTCGCTTAAACTGCTCTTGGCACGGTCTTTTTGTTGTGAAGACGAACGCATGGCGGTTATTAATAGAAGTGTGAAGTGAAGTTTGACCCTAAAAATTTGTCAGCGCCCAGCACAATTATAGTTAACATTAAATTTGGAATGTAAAAAAAAAAAATAGTAAAATAGTAATAAAATAATTAAAAAGAAACCTCATCATTCGTCTGAAAAAATTAACTTCATCTTTAAAGTCATTGAAATTTTGTTCAAAAATGTTTATTAGATTTGAACATTTTATTAGAGTTGGGGTCAATATTATTATTAAATTTTAACAACTTTTCATTTTTTTTTTTTATATCAAATGAAAAGAAATATGTATTGAGTGAAATTAAAAATTTTGGTAAAAATATAAAAATACTTTTCTATTAAATTTCGCTTGATTTCTTTCAAAATTATTTTTTGTCATCAAAGCAGAAATAAATTTTTTAAACAATATTATTTTCTTTTTAAAATAATATTAAAAATAACTTTCTTTTAAATAATGCTATAAAATTAATTTGAATTTTTAATTTTTTAAACAATTAACCAAACTGTTATCTAAAAATTTTGTGGTCTAGTCTAGTATATTTTTTTTAATTAAAATGGAACCACATAATTTAGGTATTTTTTACCCTGTTAATAATATTTTACACGATTGCGTGCGTACAATTAATTATAATCCTGTTGCTTCTCTCGATGTCACACGGAAATGCTTATCAGTATCGAGCGCAGTCGGCCGTCGAGCAAGTCTGACGCTTTTTTTGTTTACTCACAAAGATATAGCTGCTTTTTCTCGGAAATCAATGCTGCGTTGCTTTTTATTTTATTTTGGTTGCGAGATCTAATGGAAAAGTGACACACATGCGTGTTTTTGTCACACAATGACCAGTGTTTTGTAAGCAGAAAAACAGAAATTTCTGGCTTTGTCCAGTTCGAAATGGGCGGCCCGGTTAGCAAATTGCTTGTTAGGAATCGAGTCCGAGTTAGAACGGTTGAACCAGAGAGCACCGAAGATACCAAATTGAAAAAAACTAAAACTAGTGTCATGGAAGTAACACCATCACAAGTCAATAATTCCAGAATTGCTAATAATGCGCCCGTAAGCCAAAAAAATTATTTCATATTTTTTTTTAAAAATTCCGAAATATTGCCACAAATGTATCAATTTTTTTATCTGATTAATTTTGTAATCCTATTATTTGAAGATAATTGCTTTAATGCAATCCAAACCACCGATACTTTAAAGTTTTCAGACTAATTTAAAAATATTATCAATATTTTACCAACACAAACCACAATAAAATGAAATTTAAATTCAGGTTTCAATATGGAAAACACTAATTGTAAGATTATTATTGCTTTGAAAAATTTAAAATTTACACACAGCATACAGGGTCAATTTTTATACTATCTATTCTTCGCTCAGAAAAACTAGAAACTTATTTTAATATTTTCAAAATATCCTCACTAATTTGAGTAAGAGATGCAATTTTGGATATTTTTTTAAAATCAAATAAATCATACCAAAAAATCAATTAATACCCCCTCCACAGTAAGTTAGAACTTAAACAATTAAAAATTTTAAGACAAAATTATTGATTGCAAACGCAGTCAACATATTAAATTCTTAAGCAATTTTTGACTTTGGAATTCAATTTTTTAATTTAAAAAAATTGAAGTTGCTTGATTGGAAACTGCAACAAAAAGGCAGGAAATATTCTAAAAAATAATTATTAATTTCTGACATTTTTTGTTGATTCAATTAAATTTTTTAATAAATTGGGTTTCATTTTTCATTTGGTTTGATGTGGGGGCGCGTGACGTGAAACGATTAGCTGCTACTCGGAGGCGCCTCGGTTGGGCCTTCGCGTCGCCCAACTCCATTCACAGCCATTCTACAAATTCTATATGACCAGCTTTTGCAGTGAGATGCTGTCATTTCTCTGCCATAGTCTATATTTGGACACCGCGTAAGGTCGCGCTAGAGAGCATAGGAGGGGGAAAAATTCTCAATCACTTCTTGCATAGTAAAATAAATAAAGCATATTCATTCATTTCACTTGAAGGAAAATAATTCTTTTTTATTCAGCGTTGGCTGTTCGAGATTAACTTCTTGGTATAATAAAAAAGTAAAATATAAAAGCAATAAACCTCCGCCTTTGGTTTTCGCTCAAGCAAGTTTCTCGTCGGGCATCTGGGTCACTCGGGGAAAATAATATGCGAGCATTGTTTGAATTTTAATGCTCAGGCCCATTTGTCGCTCTCCGGCAACCGTTTTGCAGTCGGTCAAGTGACGCATAATTTATTTCAGTGAGATATTTTTTTTAATTCTGTCAAAATGATCTTCAAAAACTAATTTTTTACCAAAATTTCTTTAATTTATACTAAATTTTGCTATTTTTCTTTGCAGATGGGCAAAAGTGAAGGAGGTCCTCCGCCTCAGGCTCCCCCGAGCTACTTCCAGGCCACTGGAGGGGTTCCACCTGCGAGTCCTTTCACCCCAGGTCCGGTTCCTGGAACTCACCATGCCCACCAAGGTGAGCTGCTTTAATCAACTTCTTTTGAGATTTTTATTTTTACAAATTGAATTGTTAAATTTTTCAGCGCAACAACGAGGCCCGACCATTGTCACAACCGTCGTGCCGGTGGGTCCGCACCCGACTCACATGATCTGCCCCAGTTGCCATGCAGAAATGGACTCTGCCACTGAAACCAAACCCGGACCCATTGCCTACATTTCTGGAATTTTGATTGCTCTCTTCGGGTAAAAAAAAAATTGAAGCAAAAGTGAGTGAATTTAATTTAAATTTTGCAGCTGCTGGTGCGGATGCTGTCTGATCCCTTGCTGCATCGATGAGTGCATGGATGTGCACCACACTTGCCCCAACTGCAAGGCCTACCTAGGCAGGTTCCGCAGATAAGATAATCGGCCATGCACCACTGCAATAATCGATCATGACTTTTTACAAATTGTTTATAATCCGAGTTTTCCAAATATTTTATTAAACGGTATTTAATATATTGAAAAGGAATTATCTATCATCTATTTAAAAGTTTAAAAATTTTAGATCACCCTCAATGTTAGAATTAGAAATCTCACTTGTCCATCTTCAGAGCAAACAGTTTTGCATTTTTATTAATAACGGAAGCACAATTTTTTAAATACATCAAATCAAAAGTGCAAAATCTGTAGCTAAATTATATTATTGTGTTGACTGAAATTTTCCCCTAACACCTGAGCCCTTTTTTGGCCCTTTTTTATATTGATTGTATAATTTCCATTAATTTTTAACGCTTAAGGAATTAATGTGCCTGACTAACATGTGCTTTTCAGAGAAGATGTATAATGTATATATCTGAGTAACTTGTCTATTGACCTTTTATATAGAAGCTATATTATATCTATAAAATTGCAAAAGAATAAAATGTTTGGAGTGCAGCTGAAAGAACAAAATTAAACAGCATTTAGTCATTCCAAATTCCGAGACCTTTGATTATTGACAGTAATTGCTTGAATCACAAGCACATGAGATGATAAATCCAGAAACTCTATCACAAAAGTCAGTATCAGTCAGAATGTCTTCTGTAATCAATCTCGGCCCTGATGCAGCCAACCTGCTTTGTCCTCATTGTCACTATGAAGTAGAAACATCTATTAAAGTTACACCTGGGGTTGCGGCTTATTTATCAGGGACTGTAATTGCACTTATGGGGTAAGAGTAAAATTATTTTATTAAATTTTTCATAAAAAATTTGAATTCCAATCGTGAATTTGTTTTCAGTTGCTTCTTGGGCTGCTGCCTGATTCCGTGTTGCATTGAGGAATGTATGGAAGTGCACCATGTCTGTCCTCACTGCAAAAATTACATCGGGAAATTCCGCTACATTTGCGCTTGAAATAAAAAACAGGGCACTTGCATAGTAACTGAAAACTCCTAAATTTATTTACTTCCTTGTGTTTGGCATATTCAATAACAATAATAATTAATCAATCAACTGGGCTAAGCGCCTCTCACTCTTGCATGACCAAAGGCGATCTCTCATGTCAAACCGCCTTCGGAGCAATAAAATCCGAAATCATTAAACTTGACGAAACTCGATAGGAAATAATTAAAACTGTACGAATCAGATCACATTGTCAGGTCAAAGAGAAAGATCGGTGTTTGCGTCAGATTCTCATATGTCAGTTAGTTGTGTTGCTGCGAGTTGGCTTGTCCCTGACTCGGAGCATGTTGAACAGGCGAGTTGTGCACCTGACCCTGCGGCGGCTGCTGATTGTGCATGGGGGGCGAGTTGTGCTGTTTCGGGGGTTGGTTCTGTGCCGGAGGCTGCTGATTGATTTGGTTATTCTGATACTGTTGAACCGGGGGCTGTTGTTGATTGGCTTGGGGTTGATTTTGGTAAGCAGGGGGTTGTTGTTGCTGCTGATTTTGCGCCGGGGGTTGTTGTTGCTGGTTCTGTGCCGGGGGCTGATTAAAGTTTTGCTGTTGCTGGTTTTGTGCCGGGGGCTGATTGAAGTTTTGCTGTTGCTGGTGCGACGGAGGTGGGTTTTGGTTTTGGTACTGGTTGTTTTGGTACTGCTGCTGCACCGGGGGTTGGTTCGGCACCTGTTGCTGCGGAGGGTGTTGTTGGTTCACGTTATTATTGTCATGGACTTGCTGATATTGCGGAGGGTGTTGTTGTTGCTGTTGGTACTGCTGTTGAGGAGGTGGTTGCTGATACTGAATTGGTTGCTGGTGGTACTGGGGCTGTTGATTGTGACCTCCGGCCTGCTGATGGGGTGGAGGGTGGTAGCCCTGTTGCTGGAATTGCCCTGGGTGAACCTGCGGTGGCTGCTGAGGATGTGGGGGTGGATGGTGAGGCGACAGCTAAAAAATAAAATAAAATTGAATCAACAATTGATGATTTAAAAAAATTGAAAATAAGAATTTGTTCAAAAATGATAGAATGAAGATGCACAAAAAGCATAACAAAAATTTTTGTAGAGTGCCAAAAATAACTAAAAACTTATTTTCTTTTATTCCATGTTTATTTTTAATTTCCTCGTCTTTTCCGCTTGCAAGATTTCATCGAAACTAAAAAGCAAGCAATTAATGTACCTGCTGCTGATGGTGGCCCTGCTGGTAACCTGCTTGCTGCTGATGATGGAAATACTCGGGAGGGACCTGAATGCCATAGGGCATGTGCATATCGTGAGGTTGAGGAGGCAACTACGAATGGAACAAGCAAACAAAATTAGCACACACAAAATCTAGCGTGAAAGCAAAATGTGCGCTTAGTGCTTCAACTTTATGGAAAAATGCACTTTTTAAAACAAAAACCATGCAAAAAACGGACAAGCATTTGACGTACCAGTCCCTGTGCAATCAACTTTTGCACTTCCTCTTGTCTCCTCCGTTCGAACTCCAAATACTCCTCATGAGTGTAAAGTTTCTGGTCGTCCAGACCTTGCCATCCTTGGTCTTGCTCGAATTCCTTCTTCTTGGTTTGGACGAAGAATTCATCGTAGCTATTGAAAAATTTAAAAATTAAATTAAAAAATTTTATTTCATCACAAAATTACCTAATCAGGTGGTCTCGGTTAGTGTCAGTCTCGTTGAAAACGTGTTCACGCATTCTCTCCATCTCCTCTCTCCGCTCACGCATGTCGTCCTCTGGTGCATTTGGGTCGTACATTTTGTCCAGCTCCTTTTGGAACAAGGCCTTGACCTCGTCAGTGTCCCAAAAGCCGTTACCATCAAGGTCTGAACAAATATTTTTATTAATTAGGAAAAAAATGCAAGCAAATGAAGTCAATACCATGCATGTGGAAAAAGGTTTTGGGATTGAAGTCTTCGGGATTCATGTGATCCTGCTCCTCCCAAACCTCCTCCAACTGCTGTTTGCTGCCGGGGTGGTGAAGCTACAAAGCAAAATTAGATTGCAATTTAATTTAAATTTAATTTGCATACATTAGGATGAATTTTGTGCTTCTTCTCGAGCTCTTCGATTTTCTTCTCATATTCCTTTTTGTGCTCGTCGTCCAGCATGTTCAGCTGCTGGTTCTTTTCGTACTCCTTCTGCAGTTCGTATTCCTTGAACTCCTTCCTCCTCTCCTGATCAGCCTCTTCGAGATCTTTGGTAGTCTATAAGGATAGAAAATTTAGAATAGTTGCCAAAATCTAAACAAAAATAACACAAACCTGGACTATAAGTTTTCTCAAATCTTCGATTTCAAAGCTGTGAGGGTTGTGGTGGTCCAGGTGAAAGGGGACGTTCATTTTGGGAAGGTTGTTGTGATCGATTTCATTTTCGTCATCATCCTCTCTGTGCTCTTGATCGTATTTCTGGGCTTGCTGGATTTCAAACTCCTTTACGGCCAAGTGCCTCAGCCTCTCCAGCTCCTGCCTTTTCAGCTCGTCCAGTTTGGAGCGGATGTTGTGGTTGACAAACTCCAGCTCTGACGCTATTTTGCCAGTCTGTCAAAAATTTGATTAAATAAGTGAAATAAGTTTAGTTATGTTAAATTACTCTGATGTCTGCAACTTCTGCCTTTTCCAACTTTTCCCTGAACTGTGGATCACTCTCCAAGGCCTGAACAACTTCCTGGAGGTACCTGTTATACTCAAGGCCGATGTCCTGCAAAAAATTAATCAAATGAAATTAATAAAACTCTTGAGAAATTCAGACGGTATAAATAAATTTCACCCACTTCGTAAAATTGTGCCTGAAAGATTAATTTGACGCAAATTTAATGACGTCTCACTACAATAAAATTTAATAGCAACAAAAAGATAAACGCACCCAGTCGGCTCCTTTGTGCTCTTCGTCCTTGGAAGCATTTTCGCCCTCGCCTTTTTTGTTGGCCGTGACAGGAGGGCCGGTGATCAGTTGCAGGGTGTTGACCAGAACGAAAATAAAAATTAGGAGCCTCATCGTGCGTAGCTGAAATAAGAAAATAGGAAGTTGAAAGTTTGATTTGCGCTCAATGCCAAACGAGAAGCTTTGGTGGGGCCTTCGAGAAGATCAACTTTCACTTTTTTACGTCAAATTTTTGTGGTGAAATTTTTACGCAGCATTTTAAAGAATTTAAACGAATACAAACGGAAAATAATTAATGATACCCGTTAAAGAGAATTGATATTCTTGCAAAACAATTTTACCTGATTTTTCCGTCGGCTCGTCAATTACTGCTCATGTTGCAAAAATATGATTCTTCCCAATTCCCACGAAATGAGTTGGAGGAAAACAAAACAACGCAAGATAAGGTGACGAGATGGAACGGGATTCGCCGACAGGTGGGAGTGGCTCGCTTTAGATGACCAATCAGAGTGAGTTGAAGGATGGAAGGTAAATTTGGCCCCTTTTGGCGCTAAAAGTTAAAATAGAAATAATTTTATGAATTTTGTTTAAAAAGAACAAATCTTTCTCTTGTGAATTTTTTATTCTTCCGAGCCACAGAACACAGAACGCAAAACAGACTTAATAGACCAAAGTGACTGCGAATTCCTAGAAAAATTCTTACCGCTTTTACGACCAAAGCCCGCCATGATGGATTTTCCCTGCGGCGACCGCTAGGGGCGCTGCAGAGGGGAGTGGCACGAGGGCGCGTGCGCGACCATCTTTGTTGTGTTGTGGTTGTTTCGGCAAAGGTAGCGCGCGCTTCGGCCGCCGATTCGGGCCGAATTCGGCGCCTGGCTCTCTCAGAGCTCGGCACAAGTGTGCGCGAGCATTCGCAGGGCACGATTGCCGTGCCTGGATTCGTCCCCGCGCCCGAAATGCTCTAGTTCGTGCTGGGAGGGATTCGACCAACGACTAGTCCGAAGAAGATGAAGGAGATGGTCGGCGGCTGCTGCGTATGTTCCGACGAGCGCGGCTGGAGCGAGAATCCGCTCGTTTACTGCGACGGTCAAGGGTGCACCGTCGCGGTCCATCAGGGTGAGCCGCCCCTGTCCACCTTAGGCAGAGCATGCCGATTGGCCCCCCGCACCTGCCTTTGCCGACCGCCATTGGAAAACCGGTTTTCACCCCTGAAAATTTGGGGATGAGGGCGTGAAATTGTTTTGAAACAAAAATTGCAGTCTAATTTGATGAAATCTATGAAAAATTTCTCTGTTATTTTTAAAATCAACTTTTTATCTAATTTTACTTTAATTTTGGCGGCAATAAACCGGTTTCCCTAATCTCCGGTTATTTACCGGTTCATTTGAGAGGGAATTGAACTCCAGAATAATAATTTTATAATATCAAACTCTGATTTTGTCGTAAAACCATAAGTTATGAATTAAACTTATTTTAATTTTTTATTTTACATTTATTTATTAAATTTAATTCAAGTAATGTTGATTCCAGCATGCTACGGAATAGTCACTGTGCCAAGTGGACCCTGGTTTTGCAGAAAATGCGAGTCTCAAGAAAGAGCTGCCAGAGTGGTACGATCTCTTGCTGGAATCATAAGATTTTTTAACTAACCGATTTGCTCCTATTTCAGCGCTGTGAATTGTGTCCAAGCAAGGAAGGCGCTCTCAAGAGAACAGATAACAATGGTTGGGCTCACGTGATTTGCGCTCTTTACATCCCCGAAGTGCGTTTCGGCAACGTGACCACCATGGAGCCCATCGTGCTCCACCACATTCCCTCAGAACGTTATAGTAAAGTACGTTTTTTTTATATAAAAAAATTTAAGAAATATTTTTCATTGCATTTTTTTTCCATTTATTCCAGACTTGTTACATCTGTGAAGAGATGGGCAAAGCTGGCAGAGCCTCCATTGGTGCTTGCATGCAATGCAACAAGGCTGGTTGTAAGCAGCAGTTTCATGTGACCTGTGCCCAGGCCATGGGACTTTTGTGCGAAGAAGCTGGAAATTATCAGGACAATGTCAAGTATTGCGGCTATTGTCAGCACCACTATGCAAAACTGGTAATTAATTTCACGTCAAACCTTTTGCCTCCATTTAAAAATCAATAAAAATTTAATTCAAATTTCATCTACTTTGCGACCAATTTTATTATTAATTTTGTTCATTGCTTTATTTTCAGAAAAAAGGAGGAAATGTGAAAACCATTCCTGCCTACAAACCAGTGTCCTTCGATGCGGGTAGTACGTCCTCGGACGCTGCCTCTGAAAAAGACACCCCTCCCAAGGGACATCAGTCCAAGAGGAAGGGCGGCAGAGGAGGTGCAGTGACCCCGAAGGCAGCATTGGAGCCTGAAAAGCCAGCCCCGGCAGACCCACCCCCTAGCACTCCGCCCACAACGTCGTCCAGCACGACTCCCACCCCCAAATTCACTGCCTCGAACTTTGTGGAAGTGACCCCCGCCCCTGTTGCTGCCTCTGGAGGCAAGAAGCGAAAAAGCAACGCGAGAAACTCGCCGACCCCACCCATCGTCCCGAAAGAGGAGGAAGTGGAGGTGGAGAAGAAGATCAAACTGGAGGACCAGTCTCAGGAGGTGGCGCCGCCCCCGGCCAAATCCCCCAAAGTGGTACCTGTGTTGATCCAGAATCCTTCGGTGGTCGTGGCGACGCCCCCGGCAGCCTCCTCGCTGCCTCCGCAGGCATCTCCGCCTCCATCTTCGGGCGGCGGACTCGTTTTTTCAACTACCTCTTCACACCCCCAGCTCAGTGTGTCTGTGGATGGAGCTGCGAGGGATTCGGCATCCATGATGGACGCTGCCAAGATGTTTGGACTGCCCTTGGAAACTCCACCTGCTAAGCCTAGAGGACGGTACGTCCTGTAAAATTTTACATTAAAATCTTGAGTATTTTCCCGATCGAGAGAATCTCAACTAAATTTAATCTTTTAGGTCTCAGTCTATCGAAAAGGCGGAAAAGGTTGCCAGAAAGCAAAGGAAGAAGAGTCCCGTCGGCCGGAGGGGAAAAATGTCAAATTTGGCTTCACCGCCACTGGAACAACCGTCCACCTCCTCGGACACGTCGGCGATGCCTCCCATGAACAGTCTGCAGCAATTCTCAAACATTGCTGCGAGTGCAGCTCCGGTGGTTGTGCCATCGCGGCCACACGAAGAATCCTCAGTACCTGATTCCATGCGCAAAGGCATGCAGCATTCACCTAAAACAACGGCAGCTAAGGCCCCCAAGGAACCAAAGGAGTACAAAATGTAAGACAGAAAAAAACACCCAATTATTTCATAGATTCAAAATAAAAAATTTATTCGGAAAAATTTATCCTCCTTTCCTTGCAATTTTTTATGGACGGTTATCGAATTTAATAGATTTCGCTCCTTTTTTCACGACAGGTACCAAAATGGTGTGGGCAGCGCGCCACACATGTTGGGCAATGTTTTGAATCCGACTTCCTCGATGGCCCAGAAAATGACGGACACTCTGAATGCCGAGCTTGAGGCCCACAGCGTCTTCACCCCGAGCATGAGCAGCAGCGGCTTGGTTGGCCCTCCTCTGCCTTCCAAGGTCATTGCGTCTACCCGCAACAACATCAACAACATGCTTGGCCTCGGCTCTCCGAACAGTTCTCAGAGCAGTGGAAACTCTTTCTCCTCTGCACTGGCTGGCGTCCCAGGGGCTGTCACGAACATGCCACAAAGTTTGGACCAGCTGCTGGAAAGGCAGTGGGAACAGGGCAGCCAGTTCCTCATGGAACAGGCCCAGCACTTTGACAGTAATTAATTTAGAAATCGTATGAAATCAATTGAATCGTCATTTAAATTTGGACAGATCGTTTGACTTAACAATGAAATTTAAATTGATTCTCTGTTTCATTTATTAATTAAACTTTTTTTACTAAAATTATTAAATAATTTCAGTTGCTTCACTTTTGACATGTCTGCACCAACTTCGAGCTGAAAACATTCGATTGGAGGAGCATGTCCTGAATCTGCAGCAAAGGAGGGACCACTTGCTGGCCGTGAACGCTCGACTCGCCATTCCACTGCCACCAACTCAACCAGGTAAATTAACCAACTAATAAAATAGCTAAAAAAAACCTAATTTTATTATTAGTTACAGCGGCAATGCGCTCGACGCCTCCACAACAACGCAGCGCCATCCCACCCCCTATGAACAACTACCCCGTTGAAAATGGAATGGCAGCCGAAGCCAGCATTTTGGCCTCCTTCACAAACCGCAGCCCCATCGCCAGCTCCAGCGAGCGCAACTTTGGTGGCCAACCTGCCCCTCCCCCACCCCCACCGTCCCAAATGTCCAGGTAATCAAAGCAAGTCACAAACTCGAACGATTTATTAAAATTTGATGACTTCAGGAACAGCTATTACGAAAGACAGAGTCCGGCAGGCAGTGGATCGAATCAGGCGCCCCCACCGCAACCTCAGCAACAACAGCAACAGACCTCGCCTCACTCAAACAACATAGGTACCTTGAGAATGAATCCCCTCACCATGGCAGAGCAATTCCGAAGAGAAGAGTCTAGGAGGTAGTTTTATTAAAATAATGGTTGATTTTTAATTTTTAATGGAATTATTTTAGCAGTCGTGGTGGGCCACCGATGCCTCAAATGCAAATGTACCCGTCGTATCAAGCCGTTTCACCTCCAGTTGCTCAGTCTTCATCTCATGTGCCCGTTGTCACATCTCACCAGGTGAAAAATATAAAATTTTCCCTAACAAATAATTGGTCAATTTGAAATTCTTTTTCTAACTTGAATTGTAAGAAAAATTGTTAATAATTTTGCCTGAAAGTTTTATTATATTTTTTCTGTAATCGATATTTTTTTATCTGTTCAGCCGATGGTGATTCGACGCGAAGGCATGCCAATGGAGCACTCGAATCTGATGTTGCACATGCACCACCACCAGAAGCAGAGCTGAGGGCGGCCCCCCTTGCCGCTCCCAGTGCCGCCCCCAAGCCAAGTGCACCCCAATCTCAGTCTCTGGCTGCGGCACACCTTCAACCTGTAGGAATCAACAAAATTAACTCGCTCGATTTTTTTGTTCACTGCCAAGACCGCCTCTGCGAGTGAATCGAATGAAAAAAAAATATTGACTGTTTGCCTTGACGCCCATCTAGCAAGTCTTGAAGGAAACCTTTGTGATTCGTGGAAGATTGATTTTTTCATCATGTTGTTCTCTAGGTTTAGTCTGCGGAATGTGTGCTAAAGGCCAATTGGATCTTGTTTGGAAAACTGTTTCTTTTTTGCCAAATTAGATGTTTCCATCTGATTTCCCCCTGTTCTACCTTTGCCGAGTGATTGGCAGGGGCGGTCATTAATGATAATAATTGTGTAGTTGGATGAATTCATCCGCAGCAAAGACTTTGTGCAATTCAGAGTGTTAGAACATTTTCTAGGCGTTAAAGGTGTAAAAAAGTTAACAAGTGAATGTGTGTCATTTCTATAGCGAAACACCATGCGGACGTTTTTGATAATATTACGAAACATAAATAGCATTACTTTTTGTACATTGTTAGCGACCTTGTTTCCTCTGGGAAGAAATCTTGTTGTTTTTTTGGATACTACATTCTGCTACGGAGGCGCTCCTTTTTCTATTATTATTTTTTGTACCAGTGTAAATGGTTCATTGGATGTGATCCAATTATTAAATATCCTCTACTTGCAAACTGGAATTTTTATTACTGCGCCTTGAGTACATGTTTCGGCGGCAGAGGCTGCGCTTTTAATGTGCCGCACCCCTATCAAAAAGAAAGGAGGGGTAGTCTCGGCAGGAGGGGGTTGAAATGGGCATTCCCGCAACAGTCGCGCCACAGTTCGCTCCTGCAGCGCTTGCGGAAAGAAAGGGTGAGTTTGTAATTTTTATATAAATTTGATAAATTTCTCTTCAGTTTTATACAATTTTAAAATTGTTTTTAAACTATTTGCACATTTTCAAAGTAGTTTGCAAATAATTTATAAAATGAGCGGAAAACAAAATCTACGGAGGCACTTTTTCTTTTTGCATCTAAATTTTTTCCTCCGCAAATCGGGTCGAGTAAACTAAACAGTACATTTTCCCTCTTCATTCGCTAGTCAATTTCTCTCCCTTTTATCTGAGCGAGTGGGTGGACAGAAGGATTTTCTGTCTTTGATGGATGGGCCGGCGCTTTTTTTCGCGCCTGCGGCAAGCAAGTGATGATCAGAGCAGAGCGCGTAGGTTAATCTCTGTAATGAATGTCAGCCAAGCGTAAGTAATCGCCAGCCGCATTTTATTTCTCGTGTGTCTCGACAAACGCACCCCGCGGGGCAGATTGATTGCCCACTCGACACAATCACTCTGCAGCCCACACGCCGCTGAAAACAAAAGCCGGGGTGAATTAATTTTCCTACCCGACTCAACATTGCTTTTTATTCGAGGCCGCCGAAATTGTACACTTTAATCGAGGGCATTTTCCAGATTATTCGTTCATTTTGTTTATAATTTTTTTTATTTGAAAAGAGTTTTTTTTTTCAAAATACGTACAATTTATTTAGTAAGTGGCATGAAGGAAGGAAAGATTTTTAATTTAAATGAAAATTTGAACAATTAATGAAAACACATTTTCTTTTATCTAAAAAAAAAGGATTAATTTTCTAGTGCAAAAATTTATCAGCTTAAAATGAACCCTGATTTTAAATTATTTATACTAGAGCCCGCAGATGAAATTTTTTTATGACATCACAAGCCGAGATTAAAAATTCACGACTCAATTTTCCTCAAATTTCAGTTTCCACCTATTGCATAAAAAAATTTCCTGACTTTTTCGTTTCATTTTCCGAGGCTCTCTCACTTTAGAGCTGCAGTGCAAAATGTCATCGGCGTGTTTGTTTGCTCGGGAAAGGCTATAAAAGAGCTGCAAGCAAAATTTACAGCGCTCTCAAAGCGGACGCGAGTTTGTTTAGCACTCCTGCACGTTCCAATCCAAACACTTGATCAACTGTGAATAATTCTGGAAAAAAAAATTTGGCTCCCTTTGACGTGCCAGCAAGCTGATTATGAAATCAAAAGCAGCTCTATATATATTCTGAAGAGGACATGTAAATAGTTTGCCACTTGTCATTGACAACAATTCTACTTTTCTAGCAATAAGAAAGAAAATACCGGAAAATACAACCAATACACGTTTATGATGTACGTCGAGGACTAAAAAGATTTCGGGCTTCGATAAAATTTCTACAAATGCAATTTTTCTGATGATTTCACTTTTGCCACTTCGAGCGTGTGAGATAAAAATTTTAAATTCAAACGCATTGAAAATTATAAACAACTCATTGAGTTGTCACCGATTATATATTTTCAAAATTCTGGTTTATTGCTCGCCGAGGACTAAAAGTCGATTAATTACGGCGACAAATAAATCCAATTCAAATGCAAATTTTCAAATGAAAACAATCTCTGTGGCATCACCAAGTGTAAAAAATACAATTTTAATTCAAACGCATTGAAATTAATAAAAAAATCATTGAGTTGCCACCGATTATATATTTTCAAAATTCTGGTTTATTGCTCGCCGAGGACTAAAAGTCGATTAATTACGGCGACAAATAAATCCAATTCAAATGCAAATTTTCAAATGAAAACAATCTCTGTGGCATCACCAAGTGTAAAAAATACAATTTTAATTCAAACGCATTGAAATTAATAAAAAAATCATTGAGTTGCCACCGATTATATATTTTCAAAATTCTGGTTTATTGCTCGCCGAGGACTAAAAGTCGATTAATTACGGCGACAAATAAATCCAATTCAAATGCAAATTTTCAAATGAAAACAATCTCTGTGGCATCACCAAGTGTAAAAAATACAATTTTAATTCAAACGCATTGAAATTTATAAAAAAATCATTGAGTTGCCACCGATTATATATTTTCAAAATTCTGGTTTATTGCTCGCCGAGGACTAAAAGTCGATTAATTAAGGCGACAAATAAATCTAATTCAAATGCAAATTTTCAAATGAAAACAATCTCTGTGGCTTCACCAAGTGTAAAAAATACAATTTTAATTCAAACGCATTGAAATTTATAAAAAAATCATTGAGTTGCCACCGATTATATATTTTCAAAATTCTGGTTTATTGCTCGCCGAGGACTAAAAGTCGATTAATTACGGCGACAAATAAATCCAATTCAAATGCAAATTTTCAAATGAAAACAATCTCTGTGGCATCACCAAGTGTAAAAAATACAATTTTAATTCAAACGCATTGAAATTTATAAAAAAATCATTGAGTTGCCACCGATTATATATTTTCAAAATTCTGGTTTATTGCTCGCCGAGGACTAAAAGTCGATTAATTAAGGCGACAAATAAATCTAATTCAAATGCAAATTTTCAAATGAAAACAATCTCTGTGGCTTCACCAAGTGTAAAAAATACAATTTTAATTCAAACGCATTGAAATTTATAAAAAAATCATTGAGTTGCCACCGATTATATATTTTCAAAATTCTGGTTTATTGCTCGCCGAGGACTAAAAGTCGATTAATTACGGCGACAAATAAATCCAATTCAAATGCAAATTTTCAAATGAAAACAATCTCTGTGGCATCACCAAGTGTAAAAAATACAATTTTAATTCAAACGCATTGAAATTTATAAAAAAATCATTGAGTTGCCACCGATTATATATTTTCAAAATTCTGGTTTATTGCTCGCCGAGGACTAAAAGTCGATTAATTTCGGCGACAAATAAATCTAATTCAAATGCAAATTTTCAAATGAAAACAATGTCTGTGGCTTCACCAAGTGTAAAAAATACAATTTTAATTCAAACGCATTGAAATTTATAAAAAAATCATTGAGTTGCCACCGATTATATATTTTCAAAATTCTGGTTTATTGCTCGCCGAGGACTAAAAGTCGATTAATTACGGCGACAAATAAATCCAATTCAAATGCAAATTTTCAAATGAAAACAATCTCTGTGGCATCACCAAGTGTAAAAAATACAATTTTAATTCAAACGCATTGAAATTAATAAAAAAATCATTGAGTTGCCACCGATTATATATTTTCAAAATTCTGGTTTATTGCTCGCCGAGGACTAAAAGTCGATTAATTACGGCGACAAATAAATCCAATTCAAATGCAAATTTTCAAATGAAAACAATCTCTGTGGCATCACCAAGTGTAAAAAATACAATTTTAATTCAAACGCATTGAAATTTATAAAAAAATCATTGAGTTGCCACCGATTATATATTTTCAAAATTCTGGTTTATTGCTCGCCGAGGACTAAAAGTCGATTAATTTCGGCGACAAATAAATCTAATTCAAATGCAAATTTTCAAATGAAAACAATGTCTGTGGCTTCACCAAGTGTAAAAAATACAATTTTAATTCAAACGCATTGAAATTTATAAAAAAATCATTGAGTTGCCACCGATTATATATTTTCAAAATTCTGGTTTATTGCTCGCCGAGGACTAAAAGTCGATTAATTACGGCGACAAATAAATCCAATTCAAATGCAAATTTTCAAATGAAAACAATCTCTGTGGCATCACCAAGTGTAAAAAATACAATTTTAATTCAAACGCATTGAAATTAATAAAAAAATCATTGAGTTGCCACCGATTATATATTTTCAAAATTCTGGTTTATTGCTCGCCGAGGACTAAAAGTCGATTAATTAAGGCGACAAATAAATCTAATTCAAATGCAAATTTTCAAATGAAAACAATCTCTGTGGCATCACCAAGTGTAAAAAATACAATTTTAATTCAAACGCATTGAAATTTATAAAAAAATCATTGAGTTGCCACCGATTATATATTTTCAAAATTCTGGTTTATTGCTCGCCGAGGACTAAAAGTCGATTAATTAAGGCGACAAATAAATCTAATTCAAATGCAAATTTTCAAATGAAAACAATCTCTGTGGCTTCACCAAGTGTAAAAAATACAATTTTAATTCAAACGCATTGAAATTTATAAAAAAATCATTGAGTTGCCACCGATTATATATTTTCAAAATTCTGGTTTATTGCTCGCCGAGGACTAAAAGTCGATTAATTACGGCGACAAATAAATCCAATTCAAATGCAAATTTTCAAATGAAAACAATCTCTGTGGCATCACCAAGTGTAAAAAATACAATTTTAATTCAAACGCATTGAAATTTATAAAAAAATCATTGAGTTGCCACCGATTATATATTTTCAAAATTCTGGTTTATTGCTCGCCGAGGACTAAAAGTCGATTAATTTCGGCGACAAATAAATCTAATTCAAATGCAAATTTTCAAATGAAAACAATGTCTGTGGCTTCACCAAGTGTAAAAAATACAATTTTAATTCAAACGCATTGAAATTTATAAAAAAATCATTGAGTTGCCACCGATTATATATTTTCAAAATTCTGGTTTATTGCTCGCCGAGGACTAAAAGTCGATTAATTACGGCGACAAATAAATCCAATTCAAATGCAAATTTTCAAATGAAAACAATCTCTGTGGCATCACCAAGTGTAAAAAATACAATTTTAATTCAAACGCATTGAAATTAATAAAAAAATCATTGAGTTGCCACCGATTATATATTTTCAAAATTCTGGTTTATTGCTCGCCGAGGACTAAAAGTCGATTAATTACGGCGACAAATAAATCCAATTCAAATGCAAATTTTCAAATGAAAACAATCTCTGTG